AGTTTAAGGACACCTGGTCTAAACTTATGGATATTGGACTTTCATATTTAATCTGTTTTTGGATTATGGACATCTTACCTGGATGTTCCCAGTGGGTTAGATTAGGTAATCATATCTCTTCTCAACACAGGTATACCACAGGGCTGTGTGTTGAGTCCTCTACTTTATACTTTTTATACATATGATTGCACCCCCATTTACCACAGTAATATCATTGTTAAATTTGCAGATGATACAACAGTTGTAGGGCTTATCTCTGAAGGGGATGAGTCTGCCTACCGGGATGAAGTGCATCAGCTGCTCCCGTGGTACAGGGACAATAATTTGATTTCTAACATCAATAAGACCAAGGAGCTTATAGTAGATTACAGCAGGAATAGATCAAAAATTCAGCCTTTGGTTATAAATGGAGATCAAGAGGGGTGGGTGGACAGTTTTAAGTTCCTGGCTGCTTTTGTAAAAGAGGAACTTCCCTGGGGTGTTCATACTGTGGCATTGATTAAAATAGCCTTGCAGAGACTGTATTATCGGAGACTTTTAAGGAACCAACAATTGAATGAAAAACTGCTGGTGACTTTCTACGGCTGTGCTATAGAGTAGGACACTCTACAGCACAGCCGTAGAAAGTCACCAGCATATGGTTTGCCAATTGCACAGTGGCAGGTAGGAAAGCACTGCAAAGGATCACCACTACCGCCCAGAGAATTGCTGGTTGCCCTCTCACCTCTTTGGAAAAACTTCTTAAGGATCAATCTCACCTTGAATATTCTTTTTTTGAATTAGTACCATCGGGCAGAGGGTATAGGATGATAAAAACAAGGGCAAATAGACTTTTATCCTAGAGCTGTGGCTATATTGAACTCTGGTTTCACACTGATATGGCAGTAGTGATTAGAATGGAAAAGATGGGTGTTTTGTAATTATACATAAAGTGTATAATGTGATTGGAGATGGCATTTAATTTTGTTGCATGATGTACAATGACAGTAAAGGTATTCTATTACACTGCTTTAGATCTGCACACTTTCATTCTGCTGCTGCAGAATCTTATTTTATCTTTTTTCATTGTCCTATGCATGTCTTTGTTTTGAATGTTACGTTTTTAATTGTCCTATATCCTGCCCAAAGAACCTTATTTAGCAAGCAGTCTGCTAGCTGAAATATTAATATGTAATTAAACAATACCTTGGTGGCCCCCTGGTGGAGCAGTGGGTTAAACCACTGAGCTGCTGAACTTGCTGGCCAAAATGTTGGCGGTTCGAATCTGAGGAGAGGGGTGAGCTCCTGCTATTAGCCCCAGCTTCTGCCAACCTAGCATTTCGAAAACATGCAAATGTGAGTACATCAATAGGTAACGGCGCTCCATGCAGTCATGACTTTGGAGGTGTTTACGGACAACACCAGCTCTTCGGCTTACAAATAGAGATGCGTACCACACCCCAGAGTCGGACACGACTAGACTTAATGTCAGGGGAAACCTTTACCTTTACTAAAATGTAATGCTTACAAGATCCCCTTCAAAACCATACTGTGCAAATTTACTATGGTTTCAAGATAAGTTTTTCAGAGAACAAAGTCACTTTGAAAAGGTTTATCAAACAATATATGTACTTCAGAGCTGGCTGTCACTTCTCATTTAAATAATAATAATAATTTATTTATACCCCGCCACCATCTCCCCAAGGGGACTCAGGACGGCTTACATGAGGCCAAGCCCAACAACACATCAGTAAAAACAAAATAGCAAGCAAATAAAACAGTAAAAATAATCTTCAAGTGGTTTACAATAAACAGGAATACAACAAAACCAATCAACCCCATTATAAAAATTCACTTGAAAACAGGTAACAATTAGGAACATTCCTGGATAAACAAAAATGGTTTTAAGTAACTGGAAGTACCTAATTCTGAGAACTAATTCCACGTGGTGAATGACAGAACAGAGAGAGCGAAAAGTTATCAATCAACAACATTACAAAGCAAGGGATGAAAGATATTTATCTCATCTGTGGGATTTTGGCTTCCATTTTGCTTCCGCTGGCTGTGCCATTTTTTCATACTGATGCTGTAAGTTATGAGGAAGGATGGAAATGGGCAGGCTTCCCAGCCTGATGGGAAGACTGAAATATACACTTTAGTCTCGTTCTGTTGAGCCTACTATAATGCTCTTGCAATTTAGTAAAAACAAGTTGACCTCTGCCAATATCCCATGTTCAATCTGCCAATCCAAAAGACACTGGATAGTTACAAATATATAAAATATTTTATTTGTTGTACCAGTTCAAGAATGAGGAGTGTAGTGAAGAGCATCTGCAGGGAGGATTTACAGGCAAGACATCCCTCTCCCCATCCCTCCAGTTCTGAGGTCTGGGCTTTAGATCCCTGCAAGAGGCTCTTGTGGCAGTCCCCGTTTGACACATAGCTGCTGGTCTGAGGCCAGATTCCACCAGAAACACCAAGGTGCTAAAGGATGGATAGGACCAGCGAAGGAACGTAACATGCACGCCGTCTAAGAGGGCATGCGACCCTGTAACTGCAAAGTGCCATCAGCGCTGTGAGAACTTTAATCCTTCTATGATCACCAGATTCATCACTCAAATTCGTCACTCTCTTCAGGCTCCCGAGAAGGCTCTGCAATGGGCTCTGGAAGGGAGAAAGAAGACATATAGGTTGCTGAAGGAAGATGGGCCACCAAGGCGGCCATATGCTTGGTGAAGGTACGAGGAGCAATCAGCTGACCAAACAGCAGAACATCAAAACAAAAGGCCTGGTCCCCTATCATGAAGGAAAGGGACCTACTGAAGAATAAATATCCATGAAATCAGTGATGACAAGCCAGGCAATCTTAATAAACAGGGGAAGAACTATAGAAAACAGTATCATCTGAAGTTTGGGAGAACGGATGTTAGCCACTGTTCCTCCTAGGTACTCAGGAGTAACAATAGAAAAGCAACTGAAGAACACTGAAGTATACAAATGGCTGTCTCCTTCTGCAACAAGGTCTGGAGAGAAAGAACTCCTGTCTGATGTTGCAATTGGCCACCTTGATTCACATTTAATGGCCTTGCAGCTTCAATGCCTGGCTGCTTCATACCCGGGCAATCCTTTGTTGGGAGGTGTTAGCTGAGACCACCAAACACAGCAGCGCCCAAACACAAATCAAGGAACATGCAAGGCACTGCAGACTAATTCAACCAGAGAAGTCAGCCATAGAGCACCTGATGAACCAACCTGGACACAGCATATTATTTGAGAACACAGAAATGCTCGACCACCATGTCAGACTACACAGAGAAGCCATTGGAATCCACAAACATGGACAATTTCAACAGAAAGGAAGAAACCACGAAAATGAACAAAATCTGGCCACAGTATTAAAAAACTCAAAAATCAGGTCAGTAAATAAGGAACAACACTAAAAAACAACAACAGAAACAACAACAGGGAATTCCAGACAGGAAACAATCAGGGCCAGCTAACACCTCCCAACAAAGGATTCCCCCGGGCAGAAAACAGCCAGGTTTTGAATCTGCAAGGCCAACAAATGCAAATCAAGGTGGCCAATTGCAACATTCACATTTGCCTACAACAGACAAGAGTTCTGTCTCCCACCCTGGACATTCCACAGATATATAAACCTCACTTGCCTTGTTTCCAACAGACCTCATAATCTCTGAGGATGCCCGCCATAGATGTGAGTGAAAGGTCAGGAGAGAATGCTTCTGGAACATAGCCATACAGCCTGGAAAATTCAGAGCAACCCCAAAATCCTTTTATCTCAAAAACGAAAAATGGGTCCTGTAGCTCAATGGAAAAACACATGCAGTAGGTACCACCATCAAACCATGGCAACTCCACTTCGAGGATGTCTAGCAATTAGCTGGGAAAAGATCTCTCTTTTTAGAGAAACACTGCTAGATGTAGCATTAGGAATTCACTGTCACAACACTGGTGGTAGGAAGTTCAATATTTTGCATTAGATGGCTTTCAGCTACTCTTTGTTACAATGATTAAGCAGATACAGAACCCCTCCATCGCCTGTGTTCAGAAGCTGTATCGATACAGTTACAGTTGATGGAGAGAGTAATTTGTTTTATCCCCATTTTGCAGTTCTCCAGAAACAACCAGTGGGTTACTGGGCACCAGATGGATGGCTGAGATGGATTTTTGATCTAACCCAACAGCATGGGCCTAAACACAGAATAAAAAAAAAAAACTTGCAAAGGAAATAATATTTACATTTACAGTCCTCATGATTGTGTAGAAGGAAGCACACACTCTTTATATTGTTCCTAGTCCTTGGAAAACCAATTTCTCCTATACTTATTCAAAAATCCTTGTCTGCAGGAAGGGACAGGGCAAACTGAAGAATAACAAGAGAGGAATGCTAGCAAAACACAGCTATATGTGTTTTGCATTTAGTTTAGCTGGTGATAAAGATGAAAGTCTCAAAATGTTTTTTTAGAGAAGAGAAATTTTAAAGGAAAGAAAAGACAGCAGAAGCATCAGACAAGTTAGCCATCCTCAAGCTGGAATTCTGGATGATTTGTCCATCAACGCCAACCAGTGTGTTCACTGGCTTATGCATTGGCCACCCTAAAGCTTAACGCCCTAGTTCAGTGATGGTCAACCTTTTGAGCTGAGTGTGTCAAAATTTGCCAAAAGAAACGAACATAACTTGGGTGGGGTGTCACTTTGAGGGGGGAAAAACTCAATTTTGTGATAATTATAGTTTAAATAACAAAAATGTATAATTATAATTTACAATTTTAATAAACCAAAAACTAATTGTTTAACTCACCTGCTTAGTGTAAATTAAGATGGCTGCCACTGTTTCTAATGGCGGGAAATAGCACCCATAGCACAGACCTTTGCCTCTCCCAGTCTCCCCCACACTTATTTCAGTAATGATGGTAAATTAGATATCCATGACACCCCAGAACAGTAGACTGGATGATGGTTGCTGTGGTTATGTTGTTGCTAGTAATGGCGATCACAGGGCCCCCAAAGATGCATCGCCCGAAGCATTCTGCTCCCTGCTCCACTGGCTGGAAATGAGGTCAAATATCCCCTAACGGCCTAACCAGAAGTCCCAGAACGAGATGCTTTGTGCCAGAGTTCTGTTATTTTGGCCTACAGACCTCCGGCACAGCGTGTCTACACTACAGCAAATGTTTCATCCTCGGCTACTGCAGTTGGCCGTGCAGAGCCAAGGATGTAACGTCCTTGGCATGCGACCCCCATGCTTCTCTATATGCAGCTGCGTGTCATCAAAAATGGCTACGGGTGTCATAGGTTCGCCATCACGGCCCTGGTTCAACAAGACAGCTGCAGCAGAGGAAATTGCAGGATGGTTACCTGACACAGAAGGTGCAGAGGCAAGCACTGCCAGGCTGTCGAGCATCCCATCATGGTAGAGTGCCAGCCTTTCCATCATGCGCCTTCGTGCTGAGTTGATGATGATCTGAGGAGCAGAGGCATCTGCAAAGAGAGGGAAAAGGTGGTCAATGACTGGCAACCTTCCTAGATTGGAAGGTCGCCACTGAGGGTCCAGCTCTGGGTGCCATTACTTTCTGAAGGGCAATGAATGATCACCAAGACTTGGGCTTTTTGGGGAGTGCCATCTTCATTTGTTCATCTGATGTCAACTGATATCTCTCAGGTGGCAAGTCAAAACTGTTCCATTTTCTTGGGCTTATTAAAACTCTTGTGCTTTTATCGCTAAATTTCAGTATCTGTTTGGCACTTCCGATTTACAGTATTTTTGTGCTACTTGGCTATGCACATTTTTTTTTTACGTTAAAGGCAATCTGGCATCAGCCACATCAGACTTATAGTGGGATTCAACAGTCAAAGGACTGTTGAATCCAAGGATAGATAATCTGTCAATACAGAGGCCCAGCTATATATTTTTTTACATAGTGATCAGTGCTCTTTAGTTTTTACCCAGTTTGGGTGCCCAGATGTTATTGAACAACTCTCATCTTTTTTTTTTCTTTTGCTGATATTTATTCGGGAAAGTTATAGTTATACAATAAAAGAAGGGGAACATTATAAGTATATAGGAAAGTAGGAAGTTTGAAGGATAAAACTATAGTCCAAAAAAAAATGTAGGGAAGAAAAAACAACAAACACCAAAACCAAAACGGGACACACACACACACACACACACACACAAAGAATTAAAAAGAAAAACTTGGTATTTCCTGTCTTCGCCTCGAAGAATTATTATCAAAAGAAAAAGAATTGATTTATACCTTGCTAGTCCTATCTATATAAATAAAAATGTAATGCTCGTTTGTGGTATTCACAGAACTCAAAAACTACTGGACGAATTGACACCAAATTTGGACACAAGATACCTAACAACCCAATGTATGTTCTTCACTCAAAAAAATTGATTTTGTCATTTGGGAGTTGTAGTTGCTGGGATTTATAGTTCACCTACAATCAAAGAGCATTCTGAACCCCACCAATGATGGAATTGAACCAAACTTGGCACACAGTTCTCCCATGACCAACAGAAAATGCTGGAAGGGTTTGGTGGCCAGTGTCCTTTGGTTTTGGAGTTGTAGTTCACTTACATCCAGAGAGCACTGTGGACTCAAACAATGATGGATCTGGACCAAACTCTACACGAATACTCAATATGCCCAAATGTGAACACTGGTAGAGTTTGGGAAAAATAGAATCTTGACATTTGGGAGTTGTAGTTGCTGGAATTTATAGTTCACCTAGAATAACAGTGCATTCTGAACCCCATCAACGATAGAACTGGGCCAAACCTCCCACACAGAACCCCCATGTGGGCCACAGCAACGCGTGGCAGGGGACGGCTAGTTTGTATATAAATGTAATTGTTCCGAGTATTTCATATCTTTTAACTTTTATTTCCAGATTTTCATTTTTCAAAAAACATTTTAGTAATGTCCAGTCTGTTTTCTTTTCTTTTTAGGATTTGGAAAATGGCATGAAATTTGATAAACCAGTATGTCCATATTCATTATATCCAATAATTTTAATAACCATGATATTCTAGTTGGAATCATTTCCTGTTTCCAAAGTTTTGCGTAAGTTAATCTTGCTGCTGTCATCATATAAGTCAAAATTTTATCTTGATTTTGGTCTAGTGCAAAGTCAAACATACCTAATAAAAATATTCTGGCTTAAACTTGAACCTTATTTTCAAAATTTGTTGTATTGTTTTATAAATGTCTTTCCAGAAGTCTCTAGCTTTTACACAGTTCCACCACATATGTAGAAAGGACCCTGTGTGTGCTTTACATTTCCAGCACCTACTATCACTGTTTTTTTTTTAATTTGGACAATTTTTGTGGAGTGAGATACCACTGATAAAACATTTTATTCAGTTTTCTTTTAAATCGATTGAATAACTATATACTAACTCTCATAACTTTTGATTGTCTGGGGATAATGGGAATTGCAACTTGTGGCTTCAAGGTTGGGGAAAGGTTAAAGGGGCATTTTAGCATCAGACATCAAATCCACAAGCTTTGTGTCTCAATTGAAACTCCACTACCCTGACAAAACAGAACAAACTCCAGCCTTCCAGATGTTCCTGTATCACAACTCTCATCAGCTGTAGTCATGATATCTAATGGTATCTAATGATACAGGAGTTGTGGTTCAGCATCTGGAAGAGGGCCACGTAAAATGAGATGGAAGGCTGGATTCGGCCAGCAGATGTTGTGTTTGACACATGTGCTATATGGGAAAGACAACCATCTTGAGAATTTTGCACTAAAAATCAAGTTTTTTTGTTGTTGTTGTGTCAGGAGCGACTTGAGAAACTGCAAGTCGCTTCTGGTGTGAGAGAATTGGCCGTCTGCAAGGACATTGCCCAGGGACGCCCGGATGATTTGATGTTTTTATCATCCTTGTGGGAGGCTTCTCTCATGTCCCCGCATGAGGAGCTGGAGCTGATAGAGGGAGCTCATCCGCCTCTCCCCGGATTCGAACCTGCGACCTGTCGGTCTTCAGTCCTGCCGGCACAGGGGTTTAACCCACTGCGCCACCGGGGGCTCCTAAAATCAAGGTTAAAACATAAATAAATGAAAGTAACAAGAAAAAGATAGGGTGGGAATTATCAAATAGGTTCATGTGGGTATGTGTGCATGTTGTCAGACAAATCATTCAGAAATAGAGACATCTCTACAACAACAATAAGAAGAAAAAAAGGTAGTAAGGTGGCAAACACCAAAAACTGTAGCCAAGCAAGCCATAAATCTTCAAATATGTCTGAAAAGTATGTAATTTCAGAAGTCGGTAAAATGGTGCCCAACGTGCACGTGTCATTAACTAATGTAAATATCGCCTATTTACAATGGGGAAAGCAAACCTACTTCAGTCCAAGGACCACACAACTAAGCAATGGATTGGTGTGATGGAGAAAAGGAGAGGTTGCCAAGGAATTGTGGACTTCCCTCTTTCTCTCCCAGCCCCTGAAACATTTGAGCAGCTTTAATGATGTTTCCCTGCACCAGGATCAAGTGTATAGGCACCTCCAAACAATGTGCTCTCAATCAAGGCTGTTGCCGTATATGAGGAGTTAGAAGTCCATGCATGTACTCACACTGTTAGCAACCCTGATTAAGATCTTTCTGCTTCCTTGTTGTTAAAAGCTCTGTAGTGGCCTGAAACACCAGGCAGCAGCTCCCCAGAACTCCAGACAAGGATCTACCTGAGTTTTAAGTGGAGAAACTGAACCTGGGACTCTGTGTGTCTGTATAACAGATCCTGTTCGTTCACATTCAGAGATTCCAAGAATGCTCCTCTACAAGGGGTGGTCTGTTTGTTTAACTGCATCATTCCTTATCTGAGAGCAAGAAACAGAAGTACTCTAGTCTAGCTGAAGTGGGCATATGGCACACAACTGAAAATGGGAGTGCCCCATGAGGCTCTAAAACTGCTATCCTACCATTTTAAAAAAAATGAAGTTTGGTCTTTTATATTTCCTTTGGGGTCTTTATGCTTCATCAGACAAAATGTGCAACTGGCAGGAAAAGCTTAAGGGTTCCAAATGTTGGAAATAGCAACCGTCGACAAGCCTCCTATACTACAGTAGTTATGTGTTATGTCTATAATTCAGATAGCTTACTACATTGTATGTATATTTTGATATGCAGTTTTCTCTTAAGTCTATGTTGTTTGAGGTTGTGGTAGGGACTACAAACCATGTCACCAGATCTGGGACTATTCAGACTGAGACTCCATTTTAGGACCAAGAGATGCTTTAGACCAGGGGTCCTCAAACTAAGGCCCAGGGCCGGATACGGCCCTCCAAGGTCATTTACCCGGCCCTCACTCAGGGTCAACCTAAGTCTGAAATGACTTGAAAGCACACAACAACAATCCTATCTCATCAGCCAAAAGTAGGCCCACACTTTCCATTGAAATACTAATAAGTTTATATTTGTTTAAATTGTTCTTTAATTATTGTATTTTTTGCACTATAAATAAGATATGTGCAGTGTGCATAGGAATTCATTCTTTTTTTTTTTTCAAGTTATAATCCGGCCCTCCAACAGTTTGAGAGACTGTGACCTGGCCCTCTGTTTAACAAATTTGAGGACCCCTGCTTTAGACTGTTAAGATCATTAGAAAGATGCCCTGCATTATCTGCACAGAGAAACTACTTCAAATCCCATCTGTAACTGGATTGACAAGTTATATACCTGTATGCTGAATACATAAAATAAATCAAATATGTTACTTTTAACGAAGTCTACTTTATTTTTATCTCTTGAGACCATGATTTAAAACCAAATACCGGTATATTTTATGGGCACTAAAAAGAACAAGGGGCCCCCAGTGGCGCAGTGGGTTAAACTGCTGAGCTGCTAAGCCTGTTGACTGAAAGTTCGCAGGTTCGAATCTGGGGAGTGGCGTGAGCTTCTGCTGTCAGCCCTAGCTTCTGCCAACCTAGCAGTTCGAAAACATGCAAATGTGAGTAGATCAATAGGTACCATTCCGGCGGGAAGGTAACGGCACTCCATGCAGTCATGCTGGCCACATGACCTTGGAGGTGTCTACGGACAACGCTGGCTCTTCGGCTTAGAAATGGAGATGAGCATCACACCCCGAAGTTGGACATGACTGGACTTAATGTCAAGGGAAAACTTTTACCTTTTACTGAAAAGAACACTTCTGAAGCTCTGCTGTTTTGGTGCATTGGCATAATCTCTGTTCCTAACAGATCAGAGACAACTAGGTTAGCAGTCTAAAAGCTGAAAGTCACATTGTCTTGCTTAAGTACATGTGGATATATACCACTAATCAACTTACCTGTCCGAATGAATCTCCCCTTATGAACCTGCAAGGACTTTAAGATCATCTGGAGAGGCCCTGCTCTCGGTCCCGCCATCATCACAAGTACAGTTGGCGGGAACAAGAGACAGGACCTTCTCAGTGGTTGCCCCTCGGCTATGGAACGCCCTTCCTAGGGAGATGAGATTGGCTTCCTCACTCCTATCATTCCAGAAGAATCTTAAGACATGGCTATTTGAGCAGGCATTTGAAAATACGGAGTAAAGGATATAATAATGGAATAACTATATGGCGGAACTGGACATTGTTTTAATGATTATCGATTGAAGTATGTTTCATTATAATGTTTGATTTTATTGTTGCTGATTTTTTTTATTGTATATTGCTAGCCTTCCCCTGCCACGCGTTGCTGTGGCCCACATGGGGGTTCTGTGTGGGAGGTTTGGCCCAATTCTATCGTTGGTGGGGTTCAGAATGCTCTGTGATTGTAGGTGAACTATAAATCCCAGCAACTACAACTCCCAAATGTCAAGATTCTATTTCCCCCAAACTCCACCAGTGTTCACATTTGGGCATATTGAGTATTCATGTAAAGTTTGGTCCAGATCCATCATTGTTTGAGTCCACAGTGATCTCTGGATGTAGGTGAACTACAACTCCAAAACCAAAGGACACTGCCCACCAAACCCTTCCAGTATTTTCTGTTGGTCATGGGAATTCTGTGTGCCAAGTTTTTCAGTTCCTTCATTGGTGGGGTTCAGAATGTTCTTTGATGTAGGTGAACTATAAATCCCAGCAACTACAACTCCCAAATGACAAAATCAATTTTTTTTGAGTGAAGGACATACATAGGGCTGTTAGGTGTCTTGTATCCAAATTTGGTGTCAATTCGTCCAGTGGTTTTTGAGTTCTGTTAGTCCCACACATGAACATTACATTTTTATTTATATAGATTGTGTCCTTGACAGCATTGAATTCTTGCCTTGTAAACCGCTTCAAGTTGCCAGAAGGCTGAGAGGGCCGGCATAGAAATGTACTAAATAAATAAATAAGTTTCACTCAAATGAGTTTTTAGCTCTTCTCAGGAAGATCATACTTTACAAAAAGGTTATGATTATTCCAAATAGTGTGAATGCCAATTAATCCCCCAAAGGGTCACATTTTCAAAAGGCTATGGAGATTCCTGGTTTTCCAAAAGGTTATGATCTCTTAAAAGGTTGTGCCTTTCCAATACCAAAGACAAGCAAAGAACAATGGTTTACTAACTTGAATGCTGATGGCATTTGCAAACATTCATAGTAAGCTTGAATTTCAATAATGATTAATTTCACTGTTCAACGGAGAAAAAGTTGCGGGCCTGAAAATAGTTGTTCTTTTATGATTTTGGGGTGCTGAAAACGAAAATGACATTTAAAAATGTACATTGGCTCTAGTTTTTATGATATAAGCAATCACGTGATCACGTATGGTTGAAAAAATGCATGTTGCGACTTACACTATGGAAGATTCTAGAATACTCTAGAAAGTTTGATGACGCAGTATTAGTGCCGTGTGCAAAAGCCAGAAAGCCCTATATAAGGCCAGACTTTTGAACGGTGAGGGTCAGTCAGTTGAAGACTGAGACAGTATCGTTAAACATCGTTTTACATTGTTCTTTTTACTGTAGTTATGCCTCGCACGTGTGTAAATAAAGCACTATGGAAAAAAGATATCAAGGCAATGGACTCCGTCAATGCTGTCAGACTCCTGCTGGAGCATTGCAAGAGACAATCCTTTCCTTGAATACAAAAGAAAAGTCAAGAGAAGCAAACAGGATAACTAAAGTCACGATTAAAGCGACATTTAAACTTTCAGACTTTTCAACTGCATTAGGCCTACTAATATAGTTTCTTGCTGCACAAACATAAACAATAGACTAATTAAATAAATATTTCTCATGTATAAACTATTGGCAATATAATTTGACTAAAATTTAGTAAATATTCACGGTTTATATACATGCAGTAAGGTTAGGCGCATTATCATAATATTAATGAATTACCTATTGTGGAGAAAATTGAAATAGCATAAAAACCAGAGCCAATTAACACATTTAATTATTATATTTGAATTCAGCATGTTAAATTTATTAAGAAACGGCACATTTCGTTTCCGCAACTGAGAAAAACTGAAAATTTGTAGAACAGTGTTTTTGGCATTAACAAGTCTTTAAAATGCTTTATCTTGGTTCTCAATTCTATAATTCCCATCATTCTTTTCAAGAACCTGTTTCATTTCCTGCTTTATAGGAGTGTTGGCTATGTCTAATAGGAGATGCAGATCAACAATATCTGGAAGCCAGGTTGCCCATCCTTGCTTTAAAAACATTTCAATCATAATTTGCCAGTATTTGCCTGTTGAACTGACTGGAGAATGTGATGAGAAGGAAAAGATGAGGTGGAGATTGTCTTACCTGGCTGGCCTCTGGAGACATTTCCTCTGGACACACTTCTCTGGCTCACCAGATCAAAGCCAGCCACCTGCCTTTCATCAATCTCTTGAGGTTGGTTGAGGGGCTGAGCAGAGAACAGGTTCTCCTGTGTTGTACGCTGTTGCCTCTGGGGCAGCAAAGAGTCAGAGGATTCCCCATAAAGTGATAGCTGTAGCCTCTCTAGCTCTTGATACACCTACAAAGCAGGAAATGAAACAGGGTCTTGAGCTTCTCAGCCAGTAAAAGAACATTCATGCCTCCAAACCTTCTAACAAGGGCCACTGTGTCAAAATCAGAAACCTTCTAACAGGCATGAAGTCCCATTTCTCACTTGAGTTAATTCACTGAATACAGTATTACTACTATTATTATTAACTGCTAATAAGTTTTTAAAATGTTAGTGATACCGTGAGTTAAGAGTTTAATTTGTTCCGTGACTGAGGTCTTAATTCAAATCACTCTTAACTCAAAGCAAAATTTCCCATTAAAATACCATTGATCTGTTCCGCACCCTCCCCCCAAAATAAAAATAAAATACTGGAAATAATGAACATGGATGAATTAACCTATTGGCTGTCGCCAAACGAAGGAATTCCAAAGAAGCACACAAACTGGGACTTGGTAAAAAAAAAGTTACTTCAAACAACGAAAAATAGAGATCATTACTTGAAAGGAGTAAACCGAAGTCAAAGAAGAACCAAAATAGGGAAGCAAACCTCAACACTACACTCGAAAACATTTGTAAAAGATCTTCAAAGACAGAAATATTCCTGCTCGGAATTACGGAACCAAAATGGAAAAAAACATGGATAATCTCCTGTTTCTCCTAACCACAGCAGCTAGAGTGTGCTGTGCAAAATTATGGAAAAAACAAGAGATACCAAGCATAGAAGATTGGTGAGAAAAAGTACTTGATATAAGAAATATGGACAGACTTGCCTTCCTGCTATCAAAAAATAAAGGCAAACCGAAAAAAGAGACAAACTGGACAAAATTCATAAAATACTTAAAAGACAAGAAATATAAAACAATAATATAAATTATAGAAACTACCCCCAAAAGAAAGAAAGGAAGAAGGACTGAGTAAGGAAGAAAAGGAGAGGAAGTGAGAGGAAGAGAGAAAAGGAGGACACCTCATTGAAGATACTCAGGAAGTCATGAAGAAAGGTTTTTTTAAATTTCATTTTTTTTACTTTTTTCTTTTCTTTATACTTTTTCTTTTTTTTAATCTGCTTCTCTTTTTAGACTTTTTAACTATGTTTTTTTTGAAAATGTCAATAAAGATAAAATAAGTTTGTAAACGATCTTCAAAGACTAGATGGAAGTCCTTTTTTTTTCTTTTTTCCCTCTCTCCTTTTTTTTTGATGGGGACCTTTACACCCTAGGGACCAGCTTTTTAAATTTTATATTTTTTCATTTTTTTCACTTTTCCTTTTTCTGCTTTATTCTTTGCCCCACCACTTTTTATTCCAGTTCATTTCCTACTTTTCTATCTTCTCCCACTTTCCATGTAACTATATATTCTATTAATAAAATCAATTTACAAAAAAAAGAACAAAAGGGAACAGGCAGCTCCCCTCCGTTAAATGTTCATCCTTTTCCAGGGTTTTTCACTTTTTTCCCACAGGAAGGAGTGTAACTAACCCTGAGGCTATGATTCGCAAATGGTCAAAGCCTTGGTTGCTGTAATATTTTGTTTTTTTTTCCCCCAAATAACTTTTTATTGATATAAGGTAAAAGGTAAAGGTTGTCCCCTGACATTAAGTCCAGTCATGTCTGACTCTGGGGTGTGGTGCTCATCTCCATTTCTAAGCCAAAGAGCCAGCGTTGTCCATAGACACCTCCAAGGTCATGTGGCCGGCATGACTGCATGGAGCGCCGTTACCTTCCCGCCGGAGCGGTACCTATTGATCTACTCACATTTGCATGTTTTCGAACTGCTAGGTTGGCAGAAGCTAGGGCTGACAGCGGAAGCTCACGCTGCTCCCCGGAATCGAACCTGCGACCTTTCGATCAACAAGCTCAGCAGCTCAGTGCTTTAACCCACTGCGCCACCGGGGGCTCCTTGATATAAGGTAAAAACGTAATAACCAAGTAAAGAGGGGGAACATAGTGTTTTCAAGAAAAGTAGGAAAATAAAGAGAAAGATAGAGATATTTATCAAAAAAAAAAAAGAGGAAAAATCTACGTATGTATGTATGTGTGTGTGTGTATGTATGTATATATATAAAATACATACAAAAAAAGATAAAAAGTCCAGTGACTTCCTTCTAAATCTGCACGGGTTTCAACTTATTGTCTATGTAATCTTCCTGGTAACTAATGTTCCACTTTTATTATTCACAATTGTTCCCAGTTACAATTCTTTATATCTCTTTTCTATGTATTCTTCCACCTGTGATCAATTTGTTTGTTTAATCGGATTTCCTGTATTCCTTTTTAATAAAAAAAAGTTAATGTGTCCATGTCTTTATCTCATTTATCTTTTTTATCCATTGATCTTTCTCAGGTACTTCCTTCTGCTTCCAATATTTAGCATAATTAATTCTAGCTGCGGTTGTCATGTACATAAATAAAATATCTTCATTCGTGTCCAGTTTTATATCCTCATCAGTAATTCCTAATAAGTAATATTCCGGTTTTCTTTAAAATTTCTTTTTGAAGATTTGTTGGCATTCCTCATGGATCTCTTTGGTTGTTGCAACGTTTTCATACAACCAGACTCCATAAGACCCAAATGAACCAATGCCACCTTCACTCCACCTACCTCAGCCATTGGAGGGCGGCGTTTAGCTCGAGGGTGGAGACATTGACAAGACAACCTTCCTATTGTTATGCCCAACAGTTCTGGACAGGGCCCGGCCTGCAGGTCCATGTGTTTCCGATAAAGATGTGTGCCAAGCTGAGCTGCTTGAGAGGAGCTGGATGTCATTGTGGCTGGAGTTTGCTGGGCTTCCTCTTCTTCACTGATTAAATCTTTCTGAAGGGAAAGAGGTGGACAATTCATCACAAAAGCAGAAGGCAAGGTGGGATAGGGAAGGTGGGATGGAGGGAGCAGCATCAGGATGAACTGGATGGTGTGAGGGACTTAAGCTACACTGGAAGAAGAGGGGTGCCACATGGGCAAAGGAAAGCTTCTCACCAAGTATTTGCTACGTCCACGAGAATCCACCTCCATGGGTCTTCTCCCAGTCAAAAGTTCCAAGAGGACCTGGGGGTTGAGTAAGGTTGGTGTTTAAGTCTGGTGGAACGTACAGCAGGGATCAAAAGGAGGGAGCAGAAAATCACTTTCCCTGTCTTTTTTGTATTCTGGGGAAAGTTACATTGTTACAAAAACCATTCAAAGAAATGGAAGATGTAGCCTCCAAAACTAACTTTTCCAAGCTATGAGTCTAATTCAAGTCAACTAATGACACAAGGACTTGGGATTCCATAACATGGTTTGAAAATCAGGCCCCTTCTACACTGCCATATAAAATCCAAATTATCGGCATTGAACTGAATTATATGGCAGTGTAGACTCATATAATCCAGTTCAAAGGAGATAATGTGGATGTATTTATATCTCATTTAATTTAATGTATTTATTTCATACATTTCTATCCCGCCCTTCTCCCCACAAGAGGACTCAGAGCAGCCTCACATAGGCATCAACGATGCTTACAACATATATATCAAAGAATACAATAAAACAGTAAAACAGTAAAATCATCAAATATCTTTCTGTATTGTACTTCTGTTGCCATGTAAGCCGCCCCGAATCCCTTTTGAGAGATGGTGGCAGGATATAAATAAAGTTGTTGCTGTTATTTGTAGTAGTATTATTAGTATTATTATTATTACTACTATTAGTAGTAGTAGTATACACCTGGAATACTGTGTCCAATTCTGGGCACCACAATTGAAGGGAGATGTTGATAAGCTGGAATGTGTCCAGAGGAGGGTGACTAAAATGATCAAGGGTCTGGAGAACAAGCCCTATGAGGAGCAGCTTAAAGAGCTGGTCATGTTTAGCCTGAAGAAGAGAAGGCTGAGAGGAGACATGATAGCCATGTATAAATATGTGAGAGGAAGCCACAGGGAGGAGGAGGGAGCAAGCTTGTTTTCTGCTTCCTTGGAGACTAGGACGCAATGGAACAATGGCTTCAAACTACAAGAAAGGAGATTCCACCTGAACATGAGGAAGAACTTCCTGACTGTGAGAGCCGTTCAGCAGTGGAACTCTCTGCCCCGGAGTGTGGTGTAGGCTCCTTCTTTGGAGGCTGGATGGCCATCTGTCAGGAGTGCTTTGAATGCAATTTTCCTGCTTCTTGGCAGGGGGTTGGACTGGATGGCTCTGCTAGCTGTTGAATTGGATCACACGTCGGACACTTCCCAAGTGTCTAGGACTGTGTGATGTATCGGCGAATAATGCGTGCAGATCCCAGTAAGGTGGCCTTCTGCAGCTGGCAGATGGTAATTTTGTCAGCGCCGATTGTGTTTAAGTGCAGGCCAAGGTCTTTAGGCACTGCACCCAGTGTGCCAATCACCACTGGGACCACCTTTACTGGCTTGTGCCAGAGTCTTTGCAGTTCGATCTTTAAATCATCATATCGTGCCAGTATGATTATTATTTATACCCTGCTTTCGCTTTCCCGAAGGGGACTCAAAGCAGCTTAACAGAAAAGCATTAGTAAACAATATAAAATATACAAACATTGAAACAGAATTCAATATAAACAGTATTAAAATTTCACAGTTTAAAAACCATTCAGCATTATCAATGCATATTCAAATTAAAGCCACAGCATCTCCTGACTTGATCTTAAGCGTACGGATAAGATATGTATTGTGAAGTCAGGAGTATTATGCTCCAAAATTCTGTCTAAATTATTATTATTATTGTTGGGAAATCTGAATTATATGTCAGTGTGGGGGGGACCTCGAACTCCAAATATCCCATCTATTTACATCATATCACTATGCATCTGGTTTTCAATATGAGCCATCTTTTGAAATTTGTGAGCGAGCAGAAAGCTAGTAATATCAGGTTTCCCCACAAGCCAACTCCTCCTTCCTATCTAGAACAAGAAGCAGACACCCAGGGCACTGACCCATCTTCGTGCAACAAGGCTTCTTTGTGTTATGTGAAATACTTTTAAAATGATCAAAAATGGCAATGGATGCTAAATATATCCCTCCCATTACCAATGATGAAAATCAAAATACCACAATTATAAGTAAGTACCAGCCATCATCACTAACCATATTAATCAAGAACAAATACTATGATTAAACATCAGTATCGGCTATCATCGCTATCCATGTTAATCAAACTCATACAATTAATTACAGGTGTTGCTTTTGAAAACAACCATTTTTTTGTCTTTTTTGCTATTATGGTGAACACTGCTGCAATGATTGCCCATTAAAAGTTCAGATACAACATTTTGTAGGGTTTTATTCAGATACCGAGTCTGACTATGCTATGTTTCCCCTCTTAGATCCACATACCTTGGGGGAAAAACAATTAGTGAATTGTGTCTTCTGTTTGTTTGCAGAGTTCTGCCTCCGCAGTGAGATGCCAGAGCATCTCTCTTCGAGATACACCTATGGCATTAATTGAAACTCGAAGTTACGGGCTTACTCCTTTTTATCTGTTCTCATACCAACTACATCTATGCTGATGATCGTGCCATTACCGCTCAAGCAGGGAACTTTGAGATGGTAGAACAGAAGCTCTCCGAAGCTCTAGGTGCTCTTACTGCCTATTACAGGGAAAACCAGCGGATCCCCAACCCATCCAAAACACAGACATGTGCCTTTCATCTCAAGAACAGAAAAGCATCCCGGGCTTTGAAGATCACCTGGGAAGGAATCCCACTGGAGCATTGCAGCGCACCCAAATACCTGGGAGTCACTCTGGATCGTGCCCTGACCTACAAGAAGCACTGCCTGAACAATCAAGCAAAAAGTGGGTGCTAGAAACAATATCATACGAAAGCTGACTGGCACAACCTGGGGGTCACAACCAGATACAGTGAAGACATCTGCCCTTGCGCTGTGCTACTCTGCTGCTGAGTATGCATGCCCAGTGTGGAACACATCTCACTATGTTAAAACAGTAAATGTGGCTCTTAATGAGACATGCCGCATTATCACGGGGTGTCTGCACTCTACACCACTGGAGAAATTACACTGTTTAGCCGGTATTGCACCACCTGACATCTGCCGGGAAGTAGCAGCCAATAGTGAAAGGACCAAGGCAGTGACATCTCCTGCTCATCCCTTGTTTGGGTATCAGCCAGCACGTCAACGACTTAAATCTAGAAATAGTTTTCTAAGATCTACAGAGACACTCGCTGGAACACCTCAGCAAGCGAGAGTCCAAAAGTAGCAGGCTCAAACCCAGAACCTCAACCAATGACTGATACCAAATGAGAGACTCCCCCCTGGGCACACAGAAAACTGGGAGACTTGGAAGGCGCTGAACAGACTGCGTTCTGGCACCACAAGATGCGGAGCCAACCTTCAGAAATGGGGCTACAAAGTGGAATCCACAACATGCGAGTGCGGAGAAGAGCAAACCACTGACCACCTGCTGCAATGCACCCTGAGCCCTGCTACATGCACAATGGAAGACCTTCTTATCGTAACACCAGAAGCACTCCAAGTGGCCAGCTACTGGTCAAAGGACATTTAATCAACTACCAAACTCACAAATTTTGTATTTTGTCTGTTTGTTTGCTTTGTTCTGTTAGAAATGTAATATAATTTGACTGGTTGTCCTGACACGACAAATAAATAAATAAATACCAAGTACATAGAAGGAAAAGTCCTCCTTGGAAAGCCAGTTTTTGATGGGAAGAATGGGATTAAAGAGCAGGAAAAGTTAAAGAGCAGGCAACACAAAACAAAACTGGTTTTAGGTTAGCAGGTCTTTAAAAAAAATCTTGTTATTGGTATGGTTTCATGTATTGGGGCATTTTTAATCTTTCCTTGTTATTTTATTTTGAGTTTACTGCATGTTTTCTTCAGTTATTGTTTGTATTTTCTATTTCAGTGTACTGTGCTGAGAACATCAGATACTGGGAGCTCTTCAAGAACACTTGGACCAAGTCTTTTTTGTCTCCTGTGTCAGGAGCAACTTGAGAAAATGCAAGTTGCTTCTGGTGTGAGAGAATTGGCAGTCTACAAGGATGTTGTCCAGGGGGTGTGAGGTTCGCTCAGTGATACGGTTTTTGTCAGCAAGGAAACTGCATGCTGCAGAAATTCATCGACAGATTTGTGAAGTGTACGATGATACTGTTATGAGTGAAAGCAAAGTGTGTAAGTGAGTACGACAATTCAAAGATGGCCGTGACAACGTCCATGATGAGGACCGCTCCGGTCGCCCTTCTTTGATTACAGTGAACTCTTGGTTATTGGAGCAGGCGGCAAGTTTTTATGAAGAGGGTATTTTAAAATTGGTTCAGAGGTATGATAAGTGTTTGAACAAACTTAGCAACTATGTCGAAAAATAGAGTGAAGTATGTACTTTCTGAAAATAAATTTATTTTTTTGAAATAAACTTTCGTTGTGTACTTAAGTTCAAACGGACCTTACTTAAAAAATACCCCTCATACATCGAACCTATTCTAGTTTATCATTTCTGTCTCTGAATGAGCCAACAACAGGGTAATAGCTGACACACCCATTACAGTTGTATGCAAGTGTTTCCTCCAGATAATACACCCTTGGAATCTTTTGAATTTGGGCTCCGCTCTGACTTATCTGAGTAGCTTTTCAAACTCATCCTATCACCCAATGCTCCTGACTCATCATATTCTCCTTTGCAGTGTGGGAAGGCTGCAGCAAGACTAGATAAAATATGTATGTTTCAGAAAGTGAGAAGAAGAGTAGCATAGAATGTGTCATCTTTAGCCAGTTGTTTAGAAAACTGGACAAGAGAAGGAGATCTAACTATATATTTGGGGGAAAATGTTCTGAAGCTAAAAGCTGCTTGATGGAGGAACAGACCGCCTTATAAAATGGTGCATTAGATGTTTTTAGCGGGGTACAAATAAAGTTTATTATTATATTATTATTATTATTATTGTCCATTTATGAACTGTTTCCTTCTCTCTGTAAACCAGGGGTCCTCAAAATTTTTAAACAGAGGGCCAGGTCACAGTCCTTCAAACTGTTGGAGGGCCGGATTATAATTTGAAAAAAGCATGAATGATTTCCTTTGAGCACTGCACGTCTCTTATTTGTAGTACAAAAAAATACTTTAAAACAATACAACAATTAAAATGAAGAACAGTTTTAACATATATACACTTATTAGTATTTCAGTGGGAAGTGTGGGCCTGCCTTTAGCTGATAAGATAGGATTGTTGTTGTTGTGTGTGTGTTCAAGTCATTTCAGACTTAGGTTGACCCTGAGTGAGGGCCGGGTAAATGACTTTGGAGGGCTGTATCCGGCCCTTGGGCCTTAGTTCGAGGACCCCTGCTGTAAACTATCAGGGGATTAGAGGTAGATGGTGTATGACAGGCACCAGACCACCAACCGTCACTTTGAACAAGGCTGCAATGGATGTCACTTAGGTCTAGATGTCAACCAGTTCTACAGTTCTGTGACAGGATTCCGATCTCATCAGGTGTTCTCGCCTCTGCCTGTTTAGCTCTTAAAATACTCACCACACCAAAGCTAAAAACATCAATGCCAGTGGAAAGAGTCCCGGTCCGGACATATTCAGGGGGTAGGTACGCTAATGTGCCCTGCACAGTCTGGGTCCGGCCCAATAAGCTGCTCATGGTTCCCTGCTTTGGTCGGCGGCTGAACCGTGCTAATCCAAAGTCCGCCAGTCGTGGGTTGAATGCTGCATCCAAGAGGATGTTAGAGCTACAAAGGGCAAGAAAGAAAAGGGAAGATTACAAACAATCTTTATATTCTCGCACGTCCCCATTTTGAATTTTGATTTTCTATGTGGAGTGAACCATGTTCAAAGCTGTTCAGGCACTTTATTTTGCTATTGTGAATTGGGTACCAAAGTCATTCATACTTGACAGCCAAGAAGACTGAGATCTAGGACATTTCTCCAACTTGATATCACTCCCTTCAGATAGTTCCAATCCATCTATTGAATTTTGTAAGGAGAGGTAAGGGGGTATTAAGGCAGTAGAGTCTTGATCTAAAGTTTGTTTTTATATATATATATATACACACACACACACACACACACACACACACACACACACATACACACACACACACATACACACACACACACATACACACACACATATACATACATACACACACACACACACCGTATTTTCTGGCATATAAGACTACTTTTTAACCCAAGAAAATCTTCTCAAAAGTCAGGGGTCGTCTTATACGCGGGGGTCATCTTATACGAATACGTGGGAGTCATCTTAGATGCAGGAGTAGTCTTATACGCCGGGAGTCGTCTTATAGAGTGGGTGCTGAAACTTCCAATCCGGATTGGAGAATCTGTGGTTGCTGCATATGGTGGGGGGAGTTCAAAAACGGCATCTGCATATGCATCCCTGACATATGCAGCAACTGTATGAAAGCATTAAGGGCGATGGTGTACAAGTACAGTAGAAGAAAATCCATTCATCAGTATCAGTGGGCTTAATGCGGTCCTGATGGTGAGGTGAAGGGGCGCCTCACCGGGAAGGTGTAAGGGAAGGGCGGAGCAAGCTGCAGGTGTCCGGGGTGCCCGGGGTATGGAAAAAAGAGATAGAGTGGCTCTGGGTCCAGAAAAACGCACCTCTTTTACCTGTCTGCCCACCCTTCTATCCTATTACCGTACCTCCTCCTCTGCCTCTCAGATCTCGCTCCTGAAGACTGCAGTGAAGTGGTGCAGGTGCACATGTGCGAGATCTGAGAGGCAGAGAAAGAGGTACAGTAATAGGAAAATTACCATATTGAAATCAAATCTGATGCTTTTTAAATTTTTATTTGGTGTGTGTTGGAAGAGGGGTAATCTTATACAGCAAGTATATCCCAAATTTTATATTTTAACTGGAAAAGTTGGGGTTGTCTTATACACCCAGTCGTCTTATATGCCGGAAAATACGGTACCCACTTTTCTGATTTTTAAGATTCTTCCAGGTATTATCCATATATCTGCAAACATACCTCTAAAGACCTCACAACCTCTGAGGATGCCTGCCATAGATGCAGGCGAAACATCAGGAGAGAATGCTTCTAGAACAGTGGTTCTCAACCTTCCTAATGCCACGACCCCTTAATACAGTTCCTCATGTTGTGGTGACCCCCAACCATAACCCTAACATTATGGATCGCCATGTAAAAAATGATTTGCAGGATGTATTTTCATTCACTGGAGCGAATTTGGTACAAATACCCGGTATGCCCAAATTTGAATACTGGTGGGGTTGGCAGGGGGATTGATTTTGTCATTTGGGAGTTGTAGTTGCTGGGATTTATAGTTAACATGTAAACAAAGAGCATTCTGAACCCCACCAACAATGGAATTGAACTAAAGTTGGCACAGAGAACTCCCATGATCAACAGAAAATACTGGAAGGGTTTGGTGGGCATTGACCTTGAGTTTGGGAGTAGTAGTTTGCCTACATCCAGAGATCACTGTGGGCTCAAACAATGATGGATCTGGACCAAACTTGGCGCGGATACTCAATATGCCCAAATGTGAACACTGATGGGGTTTGGGAAAAATAGACTTTGACATTTGGGAGTTGTACTTGCTGGGATTTATAGTTCACTTACAATCAAGGAGTGTTCTGAACCCCACCAATGATAGAATTGGGCCAAACTTCCCAGACGGAACCCCCATGACCAACAGAAAATACTGTGTTTTCTGATGGTCTTTGGCAACCCCTCTGACACCCCTTCGCGACCCCCCCAGGGGTCCCGACCCCCAGGTTGAGGAACACTGTTCTAGAACATGGCCATATAGCCCGAAAAACCTACAACAACCCAGTGATTCTGGCCATGAAAGCCTTCAACAATACATTCTTCTAAAACTTGTGAAAGCTAGAAAAATTAATGCAACATTTGCTAGGTTTGGGGCTTTTTTTGTGTGGCAAGTTGGAGTTCCAAAGAGGGACCTTCACAAGTCCTTCGAGAACTACAAAGCCCTGAGTCTGGAAGCCCACATTTCAGTGCTGGCTAGGAATGCATTTACACAATTAAAATAGTGTGCCAGCTGTTCCAATTAATGGAAAAGTCTGGTGAAGATAACACATTTCGATTATATCGAGTTTGGATTATTGTTATACTTTTGATGCGAGTCTCTCTTTGGAAATTTTTCCAAACACTTCAACAGGTCCAAAATGCAAGATTGTAGATTATGAATAGTTACTTGGACCATATTACTCCTTTGTTAAAACAACTTCATTGACTATAGGCTCATTTTTGTAATGCCCAATATGCCTTAAATTCAGATTATCTGAAAGCTTGAATTTCCCTATGTCAGTCTGCCGAAGTCTTTTTTGTAGAGTAGGGCTTTCTCCCTGTCCCAACAACCTCAGAGGTTTGCCTCACAAAGGCATGGCTCAGATGGCCACTTTTTTGCTCTTCCTTCACTAGCAAACATCTTGTTAAACAGACCTTTACATTGGTGAACGTGCAGTGTGTGTGTGTATATGCACCTTCAAGTTGGTGGTTTGACTTATGATGACCCATACATTTCATAGTGTTTTCTTCCACAAGTAATATTCAGAGGTGGTTTTACCAGTTCCTTCCTCTGAAATACAGCCAACAGCATACAATATTTGCTGGTGACTTGCTATCCAAGTACTTGCCAGGGCTGATCATGCTTAGCTTCCAAGATCAGACAGAATCCAGCAGCTTTTGAATATTTAATAATAATAATAATAATCTTTATTTATACCCCGCCACCATCTCCCCAAGGGGACTCGGATCGACTTAAATGAGGCCTAGCCCGACAACATATCAATAGAACAAAAAACAATAAGCAAAAACAATACAATTAATATAACTCGCATGTAAACAGTAAATATACCATATATACTCGAGTATAAGCCGACTCGAATATTAGCCAAGGAACCTGATTTTACCACAAGAAACTGGGAAAACTTATTGAGTTGAGTATTAATTGAAGCATCATTAGGTTGAATGTTTATTAATATTTACATAAAACTGTAAGATAAGACTGTCCAACTCTGACTAAACCATTATTCTAACCTTCTTCAATGTACATGGGTTTACATATCCCTCCAATAATAATAGAGTAAAATAATAAATGTAATAATAATAAAAATAATAAAGCTAACCTATAAATGTAATATTAGTAATAGTAATAATAATAGAGTAAAATAACAAATGTAATAATAATAAAAATAATAAAGTTAACCTATAAATGTAATAATAGTAATAATAATAGTAATAATAATAGAGTAAAATAATAAATGTAATAATAAAAATAATAAAGTTAACCTATAAATGTAATAATAGTAATAGTAATAATAATAGTAATAATAATAATAGAGTAAAATGATAAATGTAATAAAATAAAAATAATAAAGTTAACCTATAAATGTAATAATAATAATCGTAATAATAATAATAATAATAATAATAATAATAATAATAATAATAGAGTAAAATAATAAATAACTTTGACTCGCGTATAAGCCGAGGGGAGGTTTTTCAGCCTAAAAAAAGGGCTGAAAAACTAGGCTTATACTCAAGTATATACAGTAACTCACATGTAAACAGTATTTAGCACTGTTTCTAAATATATGTCATTGTTTTTTTAAAAAAAATTAAAACAATGCTTTTTTGTTTTATTTTTTAATTGGGTCAGTAATTGTACAACACATTGTTTTAGCTATTTTATTTGAAATTAAATTGCAAGCAGCTCTGTGTCCCAATCTTGGAGAATCAAAAGGATAAACAGGCAGTCATGTTTCAAAACAGCAGAGTTCCACACTATACTGTGTTTAGTGAAATGGATGGGAGGGCTTAAGACACACAAAACTTGATATACTTTTGAGTAAAGTTCCCTTTGAACAGCAAAAGTTACACCATTGAAAGAGACTGTGCTTCCCCATACTATCTGACACAATAGCCTCAAGCTCTGAGTTACTATCTGCATCATAGCAACGCCTGCATCATAGTAATACTAGCGTCATGTCATTCAAGACCTCACTTACGGGACATGTCTAAAAAAAAGGAAGTTCAACTTTGTGCCTTAAATTGTTCTTCCTGGAAGCCCAGTGGCTTTTAAACCACTTAATTTCAAGGAACTCTTCCCAAATTACTTTGTCTGACAGTCTCTAAACCATTTGTCACAAAAACAGAACTAACATTAAAACTCCACTGCAGATAGATCCAAAACAACAAAAAAAGTGTAAAATCCTGCCAAAGAAATGCAAGAAAGCTTTTTGAAAAAATCTCACCACGCTAAAAAAGTAGATGTGGCTCTTAATGAGACATGCCGCATTATCACGGGGTGCCTGTGCCCTACACCACTGGAGAAATTACACTGTATAGCCGGTATTGCACCACCTGACATCTGCCGGGAAGTAGCAAGCAATAGTGAAAGGACCAAGGCAGCGACATCTCCAGCCCACCCCCTGTTTGGGTATCAGCCAGCACGCCAACGCCTTAAATCACGAAATAGTTTTCTAAGATCTACAGAGACACTCGCTGGAACACCTCAGCAAGCGAGAGTCCAAAAGTGGCAGGCTCAAACCCAGAACCTCAATCAATGGCTGATACCAAATGAGAGCCTCCCTCCTGGGCACACAGAAAACTGGGCGACTTGGAAGGCGCTGAACAGACTGCGCTCTGGCACAGATGCAGAGCCAACCTTAGAAATGGGGCTACAAAGTGGAATCCATGACATGCGAGTGTGGAGAAGAGCAACTACAGACCACCTGCTGCAATGCAACCTGACCCTGCGACATGCACAATGGAGGACCTCCTATAGTAACACCAGAGGCACTCCAAGTGGCCGGCTACTGGTCAAAGGACATTTAATCAACTACCAAGCTTGCAAACTTTTGTGTTTTGTTTGTTTGTTAAAAATGCAATACAACTGTTTGGCTTGCTCCTGACACGATAAATAAATAAACCTAAGTATTTTCAAACCATATGGCTCACAGTTTCGGGTATCCACAGATGGTCTTGGAATATATGCCATGCGGATATAGGAGTTGTATTGAATTATACTGACTGAACTGCTCCTGCATAATTTATTCAAATTTTGCTACTAATGAAAAGTTCTGCCAAGATTTTCCCCCCAGAAGGCTGAAACTTCCAATGGAGCCCAAGCTGTGATGCCTCAAATAACTCGTCTCTTCCAAGCAGTGTGAAAAATGGCAGAACTGTATTTGTCTCCCTGCAGAAATCTTTCTCTTCTGGATCAGGATAATGATCCTTATAATAATAACTAGCTGTATCCACCATGCGTTGCTGTGGCCAACCTTCCCTCCCTCTTTCCCTCCTTCTTTCTTTCTCTTCTTCCTTCCCTTTTTTTCTTTCCTTCTCTCCTTCCCTTCCTTCTCTTCCTCTTCCTTTCCTTCCCCCCTTTTCTTTCCATTCTTCTTTCTCCCCGTTCTTCCTTCTCTACCTATTAGAATCATAGAATCATAGAATCAAAGAGTTGGAAGAGACCTCATGGGCCATCCAGTCCAACCCCCTGCCAAGAATCAGGAATATTGCATTCAAAGCACCCCTGACAGATGGCCATCCAGCCTCTGCTTAAAAGCTTCCAAAGAAGGAGCCTCCACCACACTCCGGGGCAGAGAGTTCCACTGCTGAACGGCTCTCACAGTCAGGAAGTTCTTCCTAATGTTCAGATGGAATCTCCTCTCTTGTAGTTTGAAGCCAAGGAAGCAGAAAACAAGCTTGCTCCCTTCCTCCCTATGACTTCCTCTCACATATTTATACATGGCTATCATATCTCCTCTCAGCCTTCTCTTCTTCAGGCTAAACATGCCCAGCTCCTTAAGCCGCTCCTCATAGGGCTTGTTCTCCAGACCCTTGATCATTTTAGTCGCCCTCCTCTGGACACATTCCAGCTTGTCTATATTCTTGGACTTCAACTCCCAGCAGTCCTCCTGATTGATCTACCTACCTACCTACCTATTTATCTCTATGTAATCTAGCTATCTGGAGGATTGATGGGAGTTGTAGTCCAGGATTAGGAAACCGGAAATATGAAGGGATTGTGATGCTCTCAAATCCAAGGAGAAGAAAGCTTGCATCTTGGAAGCAGTGCATTTCGATCATCCCTCTCTCCTAAAGGGCCTGGTGTAGGGGATGCTGGGAGCTGTAGTCCGGAAGTGAGTGCGGATGATATTCTATTGTGTGTTTTGTTTGCTAAGAGAGTCGTTTTTGCACATGTGTTGTAGCGTCTTTTTGCTTTTTTGACTTTTTAAGTCCCTCTGCTGTGTTTTTCAGTGTTTTCATGAGTGATGGTCACTCATTGGCTTGATACGTGTCTTGCGTCCAAATTTGGTGTCAATTCGTCCAGTGGTTTTTGAGTTATGTTAATCCCACAAACAAACATTACATTTTTATTTATATAGATCATCATCATCATCATCATCCACCACTGCCCCACTCCCTTTGCTTGAATGAGGAATCCTCACCTCTTTACATCTCCATGGATGAGGCTGGGAGAGTCACTGTGCAGGAACTGAATGGCTCTGCTAGCGCCCACCGCCACATGCAGCCTCTGGGCCCAGGTAAGGCAGGGACCAACCTGAGAAATGAAAGCCAAAGGACAGGTTGGAGAACAGGAGCAGGACTGAAGGCCCCCTTCCTAAGGAAAAACAAATATATCTATCTTCTTCCCACTACATATCACAGAAAAACTGGGTAGAACGATGAGATTTTTCAACTGGTCACCTGTCTGTGTAAATGGTCATCCAAGGAGCCCTTTGGCAGGAAAACGTACACAAGGCAGAAATTCCCCTGTTCGGCACAGTAACCAGCAAGCTCAACAATGTTGGGATGGCGGAACCTGGAGGATAAGAGGAGGAGAGTATTTATTTATTTGTTTATCTTGTCAGGAGAAAACCAAACAGTTGTATTGCATTTTTTTAACAAACAAACAAAACACAAAAGTTTGCAAGCTTGGTGGTTGATTAAATGTCCTTTGACCAGTAGCTGTCCACTTGGAGTGCTTCTGGTGTTGCTATAAGAAGGTCCTCCATTGTGCATGTGGCAGGGCTCAGGTTGCATTGCAGCAGGTGGTCAGTGGTTTGCTCTTCTCCACACTCGCATGTCGTGGATTCCACTTTGTGGCCCCATTTCTTGAGGTTGGCTCTGCATCTCGTGGTGCCAGAGCGCAGTCTGTTCAGCCCTTCCAAGTCGCCTAGTTTTCTGTGTGCCCAGGGGGGAGTCTCTCATTGGTATCAGCCATTGGTTGAGGTTCTGGGTTTGAGCCTGCCACTTTTGGACTCTCGCTTGCTGGGGTGTTCCAGCGAGTGTCTCTGTAGATCTAAGAAAACTATTTCTTGATTTAAGTCGCTGACATGCTGGCTGATACCCAAACAAGGGATGAGCTAGAGATGTCACTGCCTTGGTCCTTTCACTATTGGCTGCTACTTCCCGGCGGATGTCAGGTGGTGCAATACCGGCTAACAGTGTAATTTCTCCAGTGGTGTAGGGCGCAGACACCCCGTGATAATGCGGCATGTCTCATTAAGAGCCACATCTACTGTTTTAGTGTGGTGAGATGTGTTCCACACTGGGCATGCGTACTCAGCAGCAGAGTAGCAAAGCGCAAGGGCAGATGTCTTCACTGTGTCTGGTTGTGATCCCCAGGTTGTGCCAGTCAGCTTTTGTATGATATTGTTTCTAGGAGGAGAGTGAGGGAACTGCAATTTCTCTGCTCCAACACACATTTCTGAAAAATTTCATGTGAAGTTATCTCAATTTTTGGAAATCCTATTCCATACCTGATTAACATCCCATTCCTTACCGGTAAAGCTTTTCCACTTCAGTGACAAAACTGTTCTTTATCACGCTCCAGTCCAATTCTGCTTCCTGTCAGACATAAAAAGACAGAGAAGGAGAGGAAAAGAGGAAGAAAGTCATTCAAGCAGATAGTCAATGACGAGGAACAGTGCATTCTGGGTGAAATGAAAGGGCAAGATTGAGTCAGCATCTCCTCATTCACAACCAAGAACAACAGACACAGGGCAAGCAACTACGAGGGTTGAATGAAAAGCAATGCCTCCACCTTTGTTACTTGGATTTGGATGGGAATATTTTAATAAATCAAACGTGGAAATAATTCTTAGAATGTGCTCTTTGACTACCACTATTCACTTTTCCACATAGGAGCCCCTGGTGGCGCAGTGGGTTAAACACCTGTGCCGGCAGGACTGAAGACCGACAGGTCGCAGGTTCGAATCCGGGGAGAGGCAGATGAGCTCCCTCTATCAGCTCCAGCTCCTTATGCAGGGACATGAGAGAAGCCTCCCACAAGGATGATAAAACATCAAAATCATCCGGGCATCCCCTGGGCAACATCCTTGCAGACGGCCAATTCTCTCACACCAGAAGCAACTTGTAGTCTCTCAGGTCACTCCTGACATGACAAAAAAACTCAAAAAACAAAAAACTTTTCCACATAATCACCAGACAATTGGATACGTTTCTGAAAACGATGAACGAGTTTTCTGAAGCCGTCACGGAAGAAGTCAACGCTCTGTTTCCGTAACCAGCATCTCACATTTCTCTCAACGTCTTCATCAGCAGCATAATGATCTCCCGCAGATCTTCTTTCATTATTGGGAACAGACGGAAGTAAGACGATACTAAATCTGAACTATATGGAGGATGTACGGTGGTGAAATCCGTACGGTGGTGAGATCCAGTCCCTGAAGTTCTGCTGTGGTGGCATGTGTACACTTTCATTTCAGGCATCAGCATCCTGGGTACCCGTCGTGCACAGATCTTCCGATAGCCAAGCAAAGTAATAATGTGACCCACATGTTCTTGTGAAATGCTGATTATGCTTGAAATTTCTCTCTAAGTGATACGACGATTGTCCTGAATCAATCTGTCAACCTTTCGCTTGTGAAACTCGGTGGTTGCTGTCACAGGACGTCCAACTCTTTATTTGTCACGCAAGTCAGATGTTCCCACCTCAACATCTTTAAACTTTTTCGCCCAATGACGCACAGTACTCACATCAACACAATCACCATAAACAGCTTGCATTCTCTGATGAATCTCCTTTGGGGTGACACCTTCTGCTGTCAAGAGTTCAATGACTGCACGTTGCTTAAGTCGCATTGACCAACCGTCTGTGCAGGGCCCATACTTTGCACTTTAACAACACAACCGTTCATTGCTAAGGCTTCCCGCCAAAATGGAACTGTAGAGGAGAGTCTACTTAACAAGCCAGTACCTGCCGCATACCAGTACTGCAATCTGTTGAGGCGTTACGAAGGTGGAGGCATTACTTTTCATTCAACCCTCGTAATATGGATGGTTCTGCTACCAAACTTTGGGAAAGTTACTCTTTTGGAATACTACTCCCAGAATCAGCCAGGACCAAAACTATAAACCTCAACTGCCTATGTTGAATCAAAGCAGAGTTCTTTCAGATCCTACCACTACTAATGCAAGCTGGAAACAGATCAGATTTTATGCAGTATGATCCCCATATTTATGGGGAAAACACTTCAAGACAACCTGTCCCTGTGGTACCTGAAATTTTGTCACATTTATTTGCTCACCTACTCACTATATTATGAACTGAGGATCAAATTCTTGGGATCCGTTCTGTCTCATCTACATTCCGATAATGCAGGGGCGTCAGACTAATTTTCACCAAGGTCACATCAACCTTATGCTTGCTTTCAAGGGGCCATTTGTAATTGCAAGGCTGTATACATGTAACAACGTTGCCATGGCATTGAAAGCCTCGTGAACTACATAAAACGATGTTACAGACTGGATTAGATCTGTGGGCTTTGCATTTAACATGTGCGCAATAATGTTTCATAAAAGATTTTCTATATCCTGAGTGATACCAATTCGATAACTCGCAAGGTTTCTCTTCTTATCCTGACAGCAATGAAAAAATTGTGAAATTTATCACTGATAATGCAATTGATTGCTCTGAGGATGCTTTTACTTTCAAGTAAAGGTAAAGGTTTCCCCTGACATTAAATTTAGTCTAGGGGTGTGTGCTCATCTCCATTTCTAAGCCAAAGAGCTGGCGTTGTCCGTAGACACCTCCAAGGTCATGTGGCAGGCATGACTGCATAGAGCAGACATCCTCAAACTGCAGCCCTCCTGCTGTTTGGGCCTCCAACTCCCAGAAGCCCTAATGAGCTTGTTCAATTGTCAGGAATTCTGGGAGTTGAAGGCCCAAACAGCTGGAGGGCTGGTTTGAGGATGCCTGGCATAGAGCACCATTACCTTCCCGCAGAAGCAATACCTATTGATCTACTCACATTTGCATGTTTTCAAACTGCTAGGTTGGCAGAAGCTGGGGCTAACAGCGGGAGCTCACCCCGCTCCCTGGATTGAACGATCTATCTTTGTTGAGATTAACTTCACAAGGTTTTGGAACTTATTGGTGTGCTATGTTGAGATTAACTTCACAATTCAGCAGCAGATCAGTTGCACAACTTCAGCACTTTCCAGTAGCTTCTTCCTGCACAGTATTTTCAGTCAACTGCTCCCACAGCCTGCATTCACTCTGGAACCTTTTACAGACACTTGAGCACATGCCCGGCCATTGTCAGTTTTACCATTGTCTTTCCCCCAGTCTAGATGATATTACAGACTTACCACAGCATACAGTTATATCTTGTCTTAGCAGACAGGTTCTTTTAATTACATATAGCCTTCGACGAACAACATCACAGCACAAGGAGAAATATACACTGTACATGACTTCCTTATATACAATTCTATACAATTACACATAGCAATCTCTGATTGGTTCCCAACTCATTAACTTAACTCAGACCCAGGATTACATCATTCATAATCACCTGGACTAGGCCAGAACACATTCCCAAATGATTCCCTATATACAGTTAATGCATGACTCAGCATTTCCAATAGAAGCCTATTAGCAGTGCATGACTCAGCTATATTACATTACAATACATTGTAAAACCTGACAATCTTTCAGTCAGCAAGTTCAGCAGCTCAGCATTTAAACCCGCTGCGCCACCAGGGGGCTCTTACTTTACCTAATCTAATTTTATCTAATGTAAATTTTAATACTCCTTATATTTAATGTGTTGTATTCTATTTCAATTATATTGATTTTTAAAATATTCAGGCCAATTATTTTACGTAGTGGGTTGTTGTAGGTTTTTTCGGGCTATATGGCCATGTTCCAGAGGCATTCTCTCCTGACATTTCGTCTGCATCTATGGCAAGCATCCTCAGAGGTAGTGAGGTCTGTTGGAACTAGGAAAATGGGTTTATATATCTGTGGAAAGACCAGGGTGGGACAAGGAACTCTTGTCTGCTGGAGCTAGGTGTGAATGTTTCAACTGACCATCTTGATTAGAATTTGATAGCCTGGCAGTGCCTGGAGGAATCTTTTGTTGAGAGGTGAAGTATTTTTATGCTGTATTTATTTATTTTGTATGCAGATGGATTAAGATCTAAGCCAGGGTTCCCCACACTAACGCCTGTGGGTCAGATGTGGCCCTCCATGGTCATGGATCTGGCACTAATCTTTAGGTTTAGGGTCACCCTAAGTCTCAAACGACTTGAAGGCACACAAGAGCAACAATCCTCATTAACTTGACTCTCTCATCAGCCAAAAGCAGGCCCACAAATCCTGCTGAAATACTGGGAAGTTTGTGTTGGTTAAAATGGTTCTTCGTTTTAAATAATGTATTATTCATTCATGTCTTTTTGCACTATAAATAAGATATGTGCAGTGTGTATAGGGGTTTGTTCATATTTTTCAGGCTAATGTCTGTCCCCCCAACAAGCTGAGGAACCATGAATTGGCCCTTGGCTTAAAAAGTTTGAGGACCCCTAGTCTAAGCATTAATAAATTATTACTACTCCCGTCATTTTTTGACTATACTTGGGCTGGAAGAAAATCATAGAATTATATTAGAGGGCCTAGAAAGGTTCACCAACACTTGCAGGGGAATATTTTTGGCGGCACAGGTAAATTAAATTGTGAATATCCAATCCATAAAGAAGGGGATCATACTGTATGCAACTAACAAATAGTCTGTGGTCATATTCTGGGCACCACAATTGAAGAGAGATATTGACAAGCTGGAATGTGTCCAGAGGAGGGCGACTAAAATGATCAAGGGTCTGGAGGACAAGCCCTATGAGGAACGGCTTAAGGAGCTGGGCATGTTTAGCCTGAAGAAGAGAAGGCTGAGAGGAGATATGATAGCCATGTATAAATATGTGAGAGGAAGTCACAGGGAGGAGGGAGCAAGCTTGTTTTCTGCTTCTCTGGAGACTAGGACACGAAACAATGGCTTCAAACTACAAGAGAGGAGATTCCATCTGAACATGAGGAAGAACTTCCTGACTGTGAGAGCCGTTCAGCAGTGGAACTCTCTGCCCCGGAGTGTGGTGGAGGCTCCTTCTTTGGAAGCTTTTAAACAGAGGCTGGATGGCCATCTGTCAGGGGTGATCTGAATGCAATATTCCTGCTTCTTGGCAGGGGGTTGGACTGGATGGCCCATGAGGTCTCTTCCAACTCTTTGATTCTATGATTCTATATCTCAGACCTGTTTTTGGATATGTTGTCAAAAGGCCAAAATACAGTGAAGGAAGATCCACTGGCGAGGCTCACAAACTCACAATACCTCCTTGAGTCGCTTGACAGCATAGATAGTGTTTCGCAGTCGGGCCTGATAGACACAGCCAAACCCTCCTTCACCAATCTTTAGGTTTTCTGAGAAGTCACTTGTGGCTTGCCGCAGTTCCTCCAATCGCCATTCAAAGGGACAGGTTAGGGACAAGGAGCTGAGGCCCTGGAGTCAGGAAAGGGCAAATAAGTATACTGAAAGGCACCTCCCCACTTAACATGCATTCCCACAATATTCCCATTTTTCACGAACAGTAAGGCAAGAATGTTTTAACATGTAGTTCCTTTTCCTCTTGACAATGTTTACCATGTGTTGTTGAAGACTTGCATGGTTGGAATCACTAGGTTGCTGTGAGTTTTCAGGCTGTATGGCCATGTTCCAGAAGCATTCTCTCCTGACAATGCCTGCCATAGATGTGGGCAAAATGTCAGGAGAGAATGCTTCTGAATCATAGCCATACAGTCTGGAAAACTCACAGCAACCCAATGTTTTCAATTTCAATCCCAAAATACAAAAGTTGTGTTTTAAAAAAATCCAGCGAAACAGTTAAGAAAATAAATTTTCAGTATGTTTCAGTGATAGAAAGTGGCAATGGAAAAATTGCAATATGTTTCTCTGGCCAAAGCGGACAAATTAACTTTAGCTTCACAACAAACAAATACACAGAAACTTCAAGAAGAATGGTAACCTGTTATGGAATGTATAAAGAACCAGAGGAAAATGGATTGGTTGACTAAAAAACAATATTAAGATTATTGTCGAAGGCTTTCATGGCCAGAATCACTGGGCTGTTGTAGGTTTTCTGGGCTATATGGCCATGTTCTAGAGGGATTTTCTCCTGACGTTTCGCCTGCATCTATGGCAAGCACCCTCAAATCACCAAATCGCAAATCACTTCTCAAAGAAAGATTCCCCCAGGCACTTCCAAGCCATTAAATGCTAATCAAGGTGGTCAGTTGAAACATTCACACCTAGCTCCAGCAGACAAAAGTCCTTGGTCCCACCCTGGTCTTTCCACAGATATATAAACCCATTTTCCTACTTCCAACAGACCTCACTACCTCTGAGGATGCTTGCCATAGATGCAGGCGAAACGTCAGGAGAAGATGCCTCTAGAACATGGCCATATAGCCCGGAAAACGTACAACAACCCAATATTAATATTATATAGGTATTTTGCATTCTTTATATTTACATTTAAGGGACTTTGGATAATTGACATGTCAGTACCCTTTAATTAGAATATAAATGTTTGAAAGCTTCTTTATAGATATTTGAAATACCGTATATTCTGGAGCACAAGACGACTTTTTAACACAGGAAATCATCATAAAAGTGGGGGGTAGTCTTCTGCGCCAGGTATAAACTGTGCTGCTTGGGGATGCCGAGAGCGAGGGTTGCAGGCAGCTATCAGAGGGTCCCTTTGGTTTCTAGGCTTGAGATGGAGCTAGCACCAGGCCGCCGCCAGCGGAGCCAGCACAAAGCTGGCAGCGGTGGGGACAGCTCAGCGGGCCACTACCCCCAATCGATCTCCCTGGTAATGGGGCTGCCGCTCCTCCTCCTCCCCGTACTCCTCCCTCGCCCTTGGCATCCTTGAGCAGTGCAACCTCGGCCAGCCCCCGTGGATGCCCCCCTCTAACCTGGCTTCAGCTCTGGTTCCTGCGGTGGCTTGAGGCGGAGCTAGCACCAAGCCAGCGGCGGTAGGGACAGCTCAGCAGGCCACCACCCCTGGCCAACCTCCCTGCATAGAGTGCCATTACCTTCCTGACAGAGTGGTACCTATTGATCTACTCATATTAGCATGTTTTTGAACTGGTAGGTTGGCAGAAGCTGGGACTAACAGCTGGAGTTCACCCCGCTCCCCAGATTTGAACTGGAGACCTTTCGGTCAGCAAGTTCAGCAGCTTAACACACTACACCACCGGGGAAACCATACTGTCAAATTACCAATGTATATGTCACTCTGGTAAAATGCCCTGTACTCTGATGGGTGTAATATCCTGATGGTGATGATTATAATATAACAAATTCTGGAAGGTATTTCAATCTAAAATGGAAGGGAGAATAAGATAGGAAAAGTGGATTGGAAAAATATAGCAAGCATCTCACATGGGGAAAAAAGAGCAGAAGGAGCTATCAAGAATACAATGCGGGAAACAGCAACAAACTGTATTTGTATTGTCGAAGGCTTTCATGGCTGGAATCACGGGGTTGTTGTAGGTTTTTCGGGCTATATGGCCATGTTCTAGAAGTATTCTCTCCTCTTATGTTCTATGTAATTTATGTTGTTGTTTGTGTTTTGATTTTATCTATTGTATTACGTTGTTGGGCTTGGCCTTATGTAAGCCGCCCCGAGTCCCCATTGGGGAGATGGTGGCAGGGTACAAATAAAGATTATTATTATTATTATTATTATTATTATTATTATTATTATTATTACTAGCCACCCCCTGCCATGCATTGCTGTGGCCCACATGGGGGTTCTGTGTGGGAGGTTTAGCCCAATGTTATTGTTGGTGGGGTTCAGAATGTTCTGTGATTGTAGGTGAACTATAAATCCCAGCAACTACAACTCCCAAATGTCAAGATTCTATTTTCCCCAATAGGCTGTGAGGTCACAACCTCTGAGGATGCTTGCCATAGATGCAGGAGAAACGTCAGGAGAGAATGCTATAGAACATGGCCATATAGCCTGAAAAGCCTACAACAACCCTGTATTTGTATTCTGCTTTTCCCTCAAAATGACTTGCAGAGTACCATACAGTTAAAGTACACAAAAATAACATTAAACAGACATAATTAAAATATTAACCATTATGAAAACAACATTATAGAGTTAAGGAAAAGAAGGGACTTGGAAAAGATACTTGGAAGACATTTAAAGAGGAATCAATAGGGAGAGCAGCAAGAGGAGAATATGGAAGTACACTTAAAAAATACTAACATTCTTGCATCAGTGCAGAAGCGATTACAGAAGTTTTGACAAGAAGGGACCAAAAAAATAAATAAGGAGTACCAGCACGAAAGAGCCAAAAACAAAGCCACCAGCCAGTCCAATAAGAAGAAAGAGGAAGAACCGCCACCTAAGACAGAAGAAATAAAGAGCCATGGTGAAAAAAATTAAAGAATTTGGGAAATGTGGCCTACTTTACATAACTAAAGGCAAACAAAGGACACTCCCTTAAGAGTTAAAAGTTCCAGGCAAGTCTAGCTGTCCCTAGTTTCCTCTTCAGTGCCATTCTCTCAATCCCTGGCCCAATGGAGCCAAGGACCAAAACTATGTCCGTTGACAGAATTGACCTTACCTGCTCGTCGGGCTTTGTGGAAGGTGGCCGCGTGCTGCTCTGGTCCACACTACTGAGGCAGCGGCTGGGAGCGGGTTCTGGAAGAGATAGTGGTGGATAGGAGGGCTCTGTTGGGCAGAGAAAGCAGAGAGAGAACTGTTAAAAGTCAAGGTAAACACTTCTGCTTCCTTGCTGCTATCTGCTTAAGTGTAGGCTGAGATGAGGAAAACCAAGATCCCATCTACATTGATTGTTTAAAGCAGTTTGAAGCTACTTTCCTGCAGATGTGCAATTCAAAAGCTGCCCGATCCCTCCGATCCTCGGCGGAGGCTCTTCTTTCACCCCTACCATTATCTCAGGCCCGCCTTGTGGGAACAAGGGAGAGAGCCTTTTCCTCAGTGGCTCCCCAATGATGGAATACATTGCCCGGTGAGATTAGATGAGCCCCTAATCTAGAAAGTTTTAAGAAGAACCTCAAAATCTGGCTCTTCCGCAGCGCTTTTGGAAATTAATCATATTATCCCATATGATGGTTATTCCTCCACATTTGTCTTTAGCGCATACCCCCTCCTCTTCTGTATGAAGGTCCTTTTTTGACTCCACTTTGGAAAGTTTCTCCCCCACAAAAAATTTGCTCCATTGTTGTTTCACCCCGTGTTTTTAGCCTTAGTATGTTAGTCTGTACAGGCGGCCCGCTCACTGTTTTTTGTTGTGAATGATTTTATTGTAATTTTATTTTTGTTTACTGTGTTTCTACATCTTATGTTCTATGTAATTTATGTTGTTGTTTGTGCTTTGATTTTATCTATTGTATTGCGTTGTTGGGCTTGGCCTTATGTAAGCCGCCCCGAGTCCCCATTGGGGAGATGGTGGCGGGGTACAAATAAAGTTTATTATTATTATTATTATTATTATTATTATTATTACTACTACTACTACTACTCATTCCCTGCCATGCATTGCTGTGGCCCACATGAGGGTTCTGTGTGGGAGGTTTGGCCCAATTCTATTATTGGCGGGCTTCACAATGTTCTGTGATTGTAGGTGAACTATAAATCCCAGCAACTACAACTCCCAAATGTCAAGATTCTATTTTCCCCAAACTCCATCAGTGTTCACATTTGAGCATATTGAGTATTCATGTAGAGTTTGGTCTAGATCCATCATTGTTTGAGTCCACAGTGATCTCTGGATGTGGGTGAACTACAACTCCAAAACCAAAGGACACTGCCCACCAAACCATTCCAGTATTTTCTGTTGGTCATGGGAGAACTATGTGCCAAGTTTCGTTCAGTTCTATCGCTGGTGGGGTTCAGGATGCTCTTTGATTGTAGGTGAACTATAAATCTCAACAACTACAACTCCCAAATGACAAAATCACTTTTTTGAGAGAAGGACACACATTGGGTTGTTAGGTGTCTTGTGTCCAAATTTGGTGTCAATTCATCCAGTGGTTCTTGAGTTCTGTTAATCCCACAAACAATCATTACATTTTTATTTATATAGAAGATTATGATTATGATTATTATAGTTGAGGTTCTATAAATACCAACCCCTTTCACTTTCATTTGGAATCGGTGACACAGCCAGGATCCAATGAAGAGTCCACAGACCACGCTAAGGTGGCTTCATTTGCTTTTGGTCTCAGGGGGAAAAGGGAGGCAGAGGATCAATGGATGCCCAATTCTGAAAAATCCTTGCTTTCATTTCTAAAGGAAAGCTGCCAAAACAGACTTGAAAAAGTGTGGGCAAAGTCTTATGACATTTCAAAAGAGACCAATGTAGATTTCCAATGCTTTGAAGATCCTGTTCTGCACATTTCTTTTTACACTTCCTCTGAGGAACAGCAAAGATTCTTGTATGATATACAGTTTATAGGATCTCATAAAAAGGCACCGTTTATCTACATGGCTTATATGAGGCACAGAACTCAAATTTTCCTGGCATCAAAATCCAGTTATCTTGGCATTAAATGTGAATTTGCTTTAGCATCCAGCAAACACAGCTCCAGTCACCATAAGTCTTCTTTGCCAAGGTTTCAGAATATATTAAGTACTTTTAAAGTTGGCTCTATATGCCATACAATGAAGCGACAAAAAGTTTCCTCTTGCATTAGGAACTATCAGCCTCTAAGATCAACTGATTGTGCATCTCAAGTCCTAAACATAATAATAATAATAATAATAATAATAATAATAATAATAATAATCTTTATTTGTACCCCACCCCATCTCCCCAATGGGGACTCGGAGCAGCTTACATGGGGCCAAGCCCGAACAACAATTACTAAAAAGAATGACCTAACGCAAACGAAAACACAAATAATAAACAACATCATAATTACAAAGGACGTATGAATATACAACAATATAAAATTACAATAAACACAAATGCACTGACAATGGGCGGGCCACATGTAATGGTTAAAAGAAGAACTTATTAAAACTAGTTAAAAGCTCGGTGAGATAAAAAAGAAACAGATTGTTTGTGGAGGAGGGCTCATTATGGTGGCTGTTGTGGAATCAAGCTTTCCCACAAAGGGAATATATACTCCAGTGATAGAACATTGCACATGAGGGATAATGTGGGATTGAGTGCCTATTCACCAAAGGCACAATGGAAGAGCCAGTCTTTTCCCAAATGTATCTCATCATCCCCAGATTATGGGAGTTAGAATCCAATACATTTGGATGACACTGGATTGGAAGAAGTTGGATGATATGAACCCACACCATCCATGCCTTAGAACATGGCCATATAGCCCCAAAAAACCTACAACAACCCAGTGATTCCGGGTTGTTGTTATTGTTGTTGTTGTTGTTGTTGTTGTGTGCTTTCAAGTTGCTTCAGACTTAGGTTGATCCTGAGCGAGGGCCGGGTAAATGACCTTGGAGAGCCGTATCTGGCCCCCGGGCTTTAGTTTGAGGACCCCTAATTTACACAAATGATCAGCCACTGCCATCAAAGTTTAATATTTATACAAATGATCAGCCACTCACAGAAGGGGCAGAGAGTTTCTATGCTGACGATTGTGCCATCATCACCCAAGCAAGAAGCTTTGAAAATGTTGAACAGACACTCTCAGAAGCTTTATGTGCTCTTACTGCCTATTACAGGGAGAACCAGAGGATTCCTAATCCATCTAAAACACAGATGTGTGCTTTTCATCTTAAGAACAGACAAGCATCTTGAATTCAGAGGAATACCTGGGAAGGAATCCCACTAGAGCATTGCAGCACACCAAAATACCCGAGAGTTACTGTGGACCGTGCTCTGACTTACAAGAAGTACTGCTTGACTATCTAACAAAAAGTGGGTGCTAGAAATAATGTCCAATGCCAGTACTGCACCATCTGATAAATAGCAACCAGGTCAATGAAAGGACCAAGGCCTATCCTCTGTTCAGATATCAGCCAGCACACCAACACCTTAAATCAAGAAACAGCTTCCTAAACTCTACAGTTTAAAGCAGTGTTTCTCAACCTGGGGGTCGGGACCCCTGGAGGGGTCATGAGGGGGTGTCAGAGGGGTCACCTAAGACCATCAGAAAACACAGTATTTTCTGTTGGTCATAGGGATTCTGTGTGGAAAGTTTGGTCCAATTCTATCGTTGATGGGGTTCATAATACTCTTTGATTGTAAGTGAACTATAAATCCCAGCAGCTATAACTCCCAAATGTCAAGTATCATTTCCCCAAACTCCACCAGTGTTCACATTTGGGCACATTGAGGATCTGTGCCAAGTTTGGTCCAGATCCATCATTGTTTGAGTCCACAGTGCTCTCTAGATATAGGTGAACTACAACTCCCAAACTCAAGGGCAATGCCCACCAAACTCTTCCAATATTTTCTATTGGTCATGGGAGTTCGGTATGCCAATTTTGGTTCAATTCCATTGTTGGTGGAGTTCAGAATTCTTTTGATTGAAGGTGAAGCCCAGTAACTATAACTCCCAAATGACAAAATCAACCCCATCAGTATTCAAATTTGGGCATATTAGGTATTTGTGCCAAATTTGCTCCAGTGAATGAAAACACATCCTGCATACTGGATATTTACATTCTGATTCATAACAGGAGCAAAATTACAGTTATGAAGTAGCAATGAAATTAATGTTATGGTTGGGGATCACCACAACATGAGGAACTGTATTTAGAGGTCGCGGCATTAGGAAGGTTGAGAAACACTGGTTTAGAGTAACACCTCAGTAAGCAAGAGTCCAAAAGTGACAGGCTAAAACCCTGTCCCATTTTGATGGGAGAAAGGTTGACATACAAATCTAATAAATGTGAGTCGCTTTATAATTCAAAACCATGCATGAGTTTAGAGAAGGTCAGAGATACCAATAAAGAGCAGTGACATAAAAATAAAAATGAAAAGAAAGTAATATGTATATTTTATGTATTAAACATGCTTTCTCATATTTTCTTTGATAACTAAAGCTGCTTGTAGGAAAATAATGGCCACAGGGAGTAGCAATCACATGCTCCATTGCTTTAGCATCTTCATAACTAAATATAACTCCATATTTAATTATTAAAAACAACAAAAGAAATGAGGCATGTGATAATGGTTTTAAAGCTATTTTAAACTTTTAATTATTCATAATTCTGTTTGCAAAAGGGAACTTGTAAGTGTATGAACAAATAACCAAATAAAATATGAAAGGCAACATAAAACAATGTTTAAAAACCTCATCTATCCAAATATAATTAAAAGAAAGAATATTAATTCAAGAATGGATTAAAACCCAGCAAACATGGAGGATGATTGTACTTGCAGAATGACCACAGAGAGGATGTTCCTACATCCTTTCTTTCATATTTGAAAGCTAGAACCTGCAGCTGTCTGATTTCAGAGCTGTGATTTTATTTCATTTCCTTTACTCAATTGGGACATAAATAATAGTAATAGAAATCACAATGCCATGGCAAAAACAGAAAAGGATGCGTGCTATTCCATTTCAAACAGGACAGTTCTGGTGACCAAAGCTCAAGCGAGATGACTGTATAAAAGTGCAACCCAAACAGTGAAAGGAGGAAAACAAGTTCTCCATGAGGCAAGATTAAAGATTTATGTGCGTTTTACTATATGGTTTTTTTTTCATGTCAGGAGTGACTTGACAAATTGCAAGTCACTTCTGGTGTGAGAGAATTGGCTGTCTGCAAGGATGTTGCCCAGGGGACTCCCAGATGTTTTGATGTTTTACCATCTTCGTGGGAGGCTTCTCTCATGTCCCCTCATGTGGAGCTGGAGCTGACAGAGGGAGCTCATCTGCGCTTTCCCCAGATTAAAACCTCCGACCTGTTGGTCTTCAGTCCTGCCAGCACAAGGGTTTAACTCAGGGGTCCTCAAACTAAGGCCCGGAGGCTGGATATGGCCCTCCAAGGTCATTTACCCAGCCCTCGCTCGGGGTCAACCTAAGTCTGAAATGACTTGAAAGCACACAACAACAACAATCCTATCTCATCAGCCAAAAGCAGGTCCACATTTCCCACTGAAATACTAATAAGTTTATATTGGTTAAAATTGTTCTTCATTTAAATTATTGTATTGTTTTTAAGTGGATTTTTTTGCACTACAAATACGATATGTGTAGTGTGCATAGGAATTCATGTTTGTTTGTTTTTCAAATTATAACCCGGCCCTCCAACAGTTTGAGGGACTGTGATCTGGCCCTGTGTTTAAAAAAGTTTGAGGACCCCTGGTTTAAACCATTGCACCATTGGGGGCTCCTAGTATATGGGTGGGAAAAGATATATTATATGAATGACATTGAAGAGGGATTTTCTACTCTACCACTCGTATAAAGTAATTAAATGAAATTGGCATGCAATTGCAAGGATGGGTTGCATGTGAGCTTCGCAAGTCCTTTTTTTCAGCCGCCAGTGATTGAAGAGAGACATCGACAAGCTGGAATGTGTCCGGAGAAGGGCGACTAAAACTATCAAGGGTTGGAGAACAAGCCCTATGAGGAGCGGCTTAATGAGCTGGGCATGTTTAGCCTGAAGAAGAGAAGGCTGAAAGGAAATGTGATAGCCATGTATAAATATGTGAGAGGAAGTCACAGGGAGGAGGGAGCAAGCTTGTTTTCTGCTTCCCTGGAGACTAGGACGTGGAACAATGGCTTCAAACTACAAGAGAGGAGATTCCATCTGAACATGAGGAAGAACTTCCTGACTGTGAGAGCCGTTCAGCAGTGGAACTCTCTGCCCCGGAGTGTGGTGGAGGCTCCTTCTTTGGAAGCTTTTAAACAGAGGCTGGATGGCCATCTGTCAGGGGTGCTTTGAATGCAATATTCCTGCTTCTTGGCAGGGGGTTGGACTGGATGGCCCATGAGGTCTCTTCCAACTCTTTGATTCTATGATGTGAGAGATATGAGACTGGAAAAACTGAGCATCCGTGAATTAGAGGAAAACATAGATTCCCTCCGAGCACCACACGTGGAATCCTGACATTTCACAGATCCTGTTGCTCTTGTGTCTCATTCCCTTGTTACTTGTATTGTGTACTGTCTCATTATTTTGAATCTGAGAATCTAGAGCAGCGCTTCTCAACCTGGGGGTCGGGACCCCCAGCGGGGTCGCCGAGCCATTTTCTGGGGGTCGCGAAGGCTCCTCGGTTGGCCCCGCCCCTTCTGCCTCCCCAAAATGGCTGCCGGCCATTGGTTGGCTCCTCCTCCTCCTCTTCCCACAAGGCTGCAGGGAGTCAGGAGGAGGAGCTTGGAGGCAAAGGCGCGCGCGGGAGAAAGCACGCCGCCCGGCTATTGCCTCTGCCGAGCTCAGAAGGCTTCTACTCGAGTGAGAAGGGCTTCTTTCAGCCCCACGCCTTCCTGCCAGGACTCTCACCTCCCAGGACAACAACCCAGCTGGGTGAGAGAAAGGAGAAGTCAGTGCCAAGAGAGCTCCGAGAGGAGGAGAGGAAGGGGCGCATGGTTGCTGTGCGGAGAGGGCGCCACGTGCCTGTGCTGGGCTCTCTCAAGAGCTCTTTCTGGGCGCTTGCCTTCCTCCTCTCCCACCACAGCCTAGTTTCCCACTTCCTACCCCAGTCTTAACTATCCCCAGTCCCCCTCTCCCACTTTTCCAGCTCCCTTTGCATCCCAGCCTTTCCCAGCTTCCAGCCTGTCTTCCCCATTTTCCTGTCTTGCTGCTTGTCCCACTCAAGTCTTTCCCAGACCCCTTTCTCACTCTCCATTCCAATCTTTCCAGCCTTCCAGCCAACATTCTGCCGAGGGGAGAGGGATTGGGGTTTTTTGGGACCCAGGACTCCCGTGGAGCTGCCTGCCTGCCTGCCTTCCTGCTCTCCTTCCTCCTCGAAGCCAGCAGCAGAGCAGCTGCCTGGGGGAGATTGCAACATGAGCAAGACTGGGGTGCAAAAGGGATTTTGCACCCAGACTTGCTCATTTTGCAATCTCCCCCAGGCAGCTGCTCTGCTGCTGGCTCTGAAGAGGAAGGGGAGCAGGAAGGCAGCTGCACTGGGAGCTCTGGGTCCCAAAAACCCCCAGTCTTTCTCCCTTTGGCAGAATGTTGGCTGATTTGAAGTGGAAGAAGGGAGAGGGAGAAGCAGGACATGCCTGCTGGGTAATGTAGTCTCTTTCCCTCCAAGGCAGCTCCTGTTCCTTCAGGAGGCTGTCCCCTGCTCAGATTCTGTGTGTCCTGAAGGAGGGAGAGAGGAAGAGGAGGAGGAAGGGTTGACACCACTGCCTTTCCAAGGGCAGAAGCAACCTTGGAGGCAAAGCGGAGATCTGGCTTGCCTCCTCCTTTCTCTCTCTCTCTCTCTGTCTCTGCAAACATCCTTTTCCCAGAGAAAAACATCCTTGAAGGTGAGCAGAGGGAAGAGCCATCCAGTCACACTTCCTGCCACTTAGAAGCACACGATCAAAGCACCCCCGACAGATGGCTCTGCATAAAAAAGCCCAGAGTGGAAAGGAGACTCCACCATGCTCCAAGGCAGCATATTCCATTACTAAACAGCTTGGTTCCCCTCTTTTCTCTCCTGTCTTTTGAGGAAAAGTTGGAGCCCCTTTGTGTCTCTTTAGGGTTCGCAGAGGGAGAGACTGGGCTGGTGGAGGTGGGGATTGCCATGCTCTATTTATTATTATTGTTATTACATGTATTATTTTACTTTGTTATTATTACATTATTTTATTCTATTGTTATTAATACATTTATTATTCTACCTTATTATTATTATTATTATTATTTACATTTATTGTTTTAATCTATTGTTGTTATTACATTTATTATTCTACCCTTACTATTATTGTTATTACATTTATTATTTTAATCTATCATTGTTATTATTACATGTATTATTTTACTCTATTTATTATTACTGGAAGGATATGTACTGGTAATCACATTTACATTGAAGAAGGTTAGAATAATGATTTAATCAGAGTTAGACAGTTTTAAATTACAGTTTTATGTAAATATTCAAAAACATTTAAACTGCTGATGCCTCAATTAATGTAATTTTATTTTTATTTTTGAAATTTGCCAGTAACTGCTGCATTTCGCAATCTTGGCTTATATAATAAATGTAATAATAACAACAATAATAGATTAAAACAATAAATGTAATAATAATAATAAGGTAGAATACTAATGTTATAATAATAACAATAGAATAAAATAATGTAATAAGTTTTCCGAGTTTTTAATGGTAAAATTAGGTGCCTCTGCTTATATTTGGGTCAGCTTATACTCGAGTATCATATCAGACATTTACATTACATTTCATAACAGTAGCAAAATTACTGTTATGAAGTAGCAACGAAAATATGGTTGGGGGTCACCACAACATGAGGAACTTAATTTAGGGGTCACAGCATTAGAAAGGTTGAGAACCACTGATCTAGAGCCTGTGAGTATGGAGGGACAACTCAAGAGTAACCTAGATTGATGGGAGTCCTTTTCTCATGCTCCGAAGGCAATCATACTGGGATTTGGCCACACATTAAAAAAAATCCAATAACTTCTTTTAAAAATTCATGCACATTTATATTGATGTAATTCCAAAGACTTGGTATCAGCAATCTATATTACTAAGATGGATACAGTATTATTAACAATCAGATAGTGCCTATAATTTGAATTATGTTTCATAGCTATGTGTGTTCTCTCTTATTATTTTGTTACGTTTGTATTGATATTTTAATTCTGAGCATCACTTAGTTATTTTGGAATGTTCAGTGGTTTTCAAATATATAACAAGAAGATAAAAACAAATGGGTTACCACTGTGTGGCATTAAAACATACTCCCCTTGCACATGCTTGGGCAGACAGGCAACTTTACCTGGCACAGGTGCAGATGGTCCTTTTTGGGGCTTCCACATTGCAGTCTTCACTTTGTTGCTGCCAACGCCAACCCTGCCACCAGGATCTGGGGCAGGTAGGGAAGGTGGGGGGTCAAGAGGAACTGACGGCCGATGAAAAGGCACTGCTCTGGATTCTACTGGGCGTGATGGTGGATTCCCTGGAAGGGGGGTGGGATAGAGAGGTAGCTATTAGTCTCTAAAATGTGAGGTGCACTCAGCCTATTATTAGACTATTAACCATCCCCTGCCACGCGTTGCTGTGGCCCAGTCTGCTGATCTGGAAAATAAAGTAATGACAAAGTGTTGATTTCTAATATATGTAATTTCTTTATTCTTGTGGGTCAACAGTATTTCTTGCTGTTTCTTTGTCAGTATTGATGTGGAGATTTTTTGCTGGAACATGCAACATATAATTGTCCTTCTTTAGGGATCCCTTTCAAATCTATAATACTATGTCATAAACGTGTGTGTGTGTGAATCATATATATTTATCTATATCTATGGCTAGATGGCTCTTTGACAGGAGGGCTTTATGTTTTCTTGCCCTGATGAAGGGAGTTGGACTGGATGGCCTTAAGGCAGTATTTCTCAACCTGGGGTTTGGGACCCCCTGGGGGGAGGGTCGCGAGGGGGTGTCAGAAGGGTCACCAAAGACCACCAGAAAACACAGTATTTTCTGTTGGTCATGGGGGTTCTGTTTGGGCAGTTTGGCCCAATTCTATCGTTTGTGGGGTTCAGAATGCTTTTTGATTGTAGGTAAACTAAAATTCCCAGTAACAACAACTCCCAAATGTCAAGGTCAATTTCCCCCAAACTCCATCTGTGTTTATATTTGGGCATATTGAGTATTTGTGCCAAGTTTGGTCCAGATCCATCATTGTTTGAGTCCACAGTGCTCTCTAGATCAGTGGTTCTCAACCTGGGGTCCCCAGATGTTTTTGGCCTACAACTCCCAGAAATCCCAGCCAGTTGACCAGCTGTTAGGATTTCTGGGAGTTGGAGGCCAAAAACATCTGGGGACTCCAGGTTGTGAACCATTGCTCTAGATGTAGGTGAACTACAACTCCCAAACTCAAGGTCAATGCCCACCAAACCCTTCTAGTGGTTTCTGTTGGTCATGGGAGTCCAGTGTGCCAAGTTTGGTTCAGTTCCATCGTTGGTGGAGTTCAGAATGCTGTTTGATCATAGGTGAACTATAAATCCCAGCAACTGCAACTCCCAAATGATAAAATCATTTTTTTGAGTGAAGGACATACATTGGGTTGTTAGGAATCTTGTGTCCAAATTTGGTGTCAATTCATCCAGTGGTTTTTGAGTTCTGTGGATACCACAAACGAACATTACATTTCTATTTATATAGATGCCCTTCAATTTCCAACCTGGGATATCCTGCATTTCTATGCCTCCTCCTTGGTGTCTCTGTAGAGAAATAAGATGTGTTCTACAAACATGCAACAGGGATTAATGGCACATGAAATGAGCATGGACATGTTACCTTTTGCGTGTTAGGGTACATGTGTGAATCTCCAAAGATTTATAGTCCAAAGAAGGGTCATTTCCAAATTCTTAAAACTATGTATTCATGCAGTGACAGATATGCCAACACTAGCATAGTTCTCATGGGAAAAGTCATAAATCAGTAGTAGTTCACATGCCTTGTATACAGCAAATGGCAGGTCCAAGCCCTGTCACTTCCAGCAAAAAAGATCTCCGAGACTAGGAAAGAATTCTGCCCAAAGCCATGACTAATGTTGGGTTATCCAGAGCAACAGTCTGATTTATGACAAGGTAGCTTTTTATGCTTACATGCACAGGGACAGTCAGTGCTAGATTTTGCTATCTGTTTCAACTGTACAGAAGATGGCTGTGACACACACAGAAGTGTTCGTTCACTACTTTTTCTCCAGGTAATTGTCTACCTCAGCTGTCTTTTAGCTTGGTGTCACAGCTGAAGAATGCTGCCTGCAGGAGAGCAAGCAAGAAATGCAGTGTCAAAAGCTCTGGGAAAGGGTCCAATGCATGTATTTAACATAAGATAAGAACAAGTCAAACAAGGAAGCAATACATATCATGAAATCTCAAAAGACGAGCAATGTTTGATTCAAAGAATGCTCACAACCCTAGCTCAGGTTAGGAAAGCTAATTTTTCGATAACTTCTCAACTTTTAGTCCCAAGGCTGATTCTGGGTTGCAGTCCAAAAAATAACTCTCCTAGGCTCTAGTTTGAAATCCTCGGTTTTATTTATTTACAACATTTATATGCCGCCCTTCTCACGTCGAAGGGGACTCAGAGTGGCTTACAAGTAAAATGTAAATATATTATATTACTAGCTGTCCCCTGCCACGCGTTGCTGTGGCCCTCATGGGGGTTCTGTGTGGGAGGTTTGGCCCAATTCTATCGTTGAGGGAGTTCAGAATGCTGTGATTGTAGGTGAACTATAAATCCCAGCAAACGCGTCTGGCGGGGACAAGAGACAGGGCCTTCTCGGCTGTAGCCCCCCGCCTGTGGAATTCGCTTCCAAATGAAATACGATCGACTCTATCCCTCCTGGCGTTCAGGAAGAAATTAAAATCTTGGTTTTGGGACCAGGCTTTCAGACAATAAACATAAAGCAGCACTTTGACTGGAAATAGACTGGCAAGATGGTATGTATGAGGATACGGTTTTATTGTTCTATCAGTGGGTTTGTGGATTGTGTATTGTTTTAATGACTGTTTTAATGACTGTTTGTTAGCTGCTCTGAGCCCCCCCCCCCCCCCCGGGATTGAGAAGAGCGGGGTAAAAATAAATAAATAAACTCCCAAATGTCAAGATTCTATTTTCCCCAAACTCCACCATTGTTCACATTTGGGCATATTGAGTATTTGTGTAGTCGGGCCATGCCTTTTGTGTAGAGTTTGGTCCAGATCCATCATTGTTTGAGTCCACAGTGATCTCTAGATGTAGGTGAACTACAACTTCAAAACCAAAGGACACTGTCCACCAAACCATTCCAGTATTTTCTGTTGGTCATGGGAGAACTGTGTGCCAAGTTTGGTTCAATTCCATCGTTGGTGGGGTTCAGAATGCTCTTTGATTGTAGGTGAACTATAAATCACAGCAACTACAACTCCCAAATGACAAAATCAATTTTTTGAGTGAAGGACATACATTGGGTTGTTAGGTGTCTTGTGTCCAAATTTGGTGTCAATTTGTCCAGTGGTTTTTGAGTTCTGTTAATCCCACAAACGAACATTACATTTTTATTTATATAGATTACCATAGCTCAATATTAATATCATATATTATTATATTGTACTATAACATTATACTATAATATTACATGTAATATAAAATATATAATTATAATATCATATCATTATTAGTAGTATTATATTATATTTTACCCATGTGAAGAACCTGTGATTTATAGCTTTATAATATATTTATTTTTGGAGACAAGGAGTATGAGCATTCCACTAGGAAGATTCCCTTCTCGTGTAGAGGGAATGCTTCCACTTAACTGGCATATTTTTTTTCAAAAGGGTGAAATGAAAAGAAGAATATGAACTAAAATTATTTGGAGTGCAATCAGGGCCTTTTTTTGGCTATTCATATGTTTTGAGCCACAATTCCCACAACTAGGTCTTGCTAACTGAGGATAATGATCCATCTGCAAAATGCAAGTTAGGGGAATATTGCAACTTCAGAGCTATGAAGAAAGACCCATAACTTTTAGTTGAAGAATATATTTATGAGAGAGAATGTGTCTGTGAGAATAAGAGAGAGAAAGAAGAGAAAGAAAGAGAAGGAGAGAGAAAAGAAACAGAACGGCCAGACTCACACGAGGCGATGACATCGTGTGCCCGATAAAGCTGCAAGTCATCAAGGATCTGAAGTAAGTCAACCACTCGGGCGTTACGATTTATCCAGGCCCACATGACTTTGTTTGTTGGCGCCTCCATCTTCTCGTAGAGACGCAGCTCCACCTGATCTCGGACAATCCTGGAGGCTGGGGTGCAAAAGAGAAAAGCTGGTCATGACTGAGGCACATATACCAATCTTGATAATTTTGCTCTCTTTGACATTTTGTGTTGTATTAAATTGCAGCCGCTTCCTATGCCAACACAAAGGGGAAAAGTCTTTCTCCTGTAACTTCTTCCCTGCTCAAGGAGCATAGGATTACGGCTTCCTGTGTGCTTTCAAAGTCATTTCCAATTTATGGAGAGCCTATCACAGTTTTCTGGATCAGAGTGTGTGTGACTTGCCCAATGGGTTTTCATGGCTGAAAGGGAAATCAGACTCTGGTCTCCAAAGTCACAGTTCGGTGCTCAAATCACTATACCTCTATCTCTCTTTACCTTACACCAGGAGTCCTCAAGCTAAGGCCCGGGGGCCGGATACGGTCCTCCAAGGTCATTTACCCGACCCTCACTCAGGGTCAACCTAAGTCTTGAAAGCAAACAACAACAACAACAATCCTATCTCATCAGCCAAAAGCATACGAAAGCTGACTGGCACAACCTGGGGATCACAACCAGACACAGTGAAGACATCTGCCCTTGCGCTATGCTACTCTGCTGCTGAGTACGCACGCCCAGTGTGGAACACATCTCGCCACACTAAAACAGTAGATGTGGCTCTTAATGAGACATGCCGCATTATCACGGGGTGTCTGTGCCCTACACCACTGGAGAAATTACCTTGCTTAGCCAGCATTGCACAACTTGACATCCGCCGGGAAGTAGCAGCCAATAGTGAAAGGACCAAGGCAGAGACATCTCCAGCTCATCCCCTGTTTGGGTATCAGCCGGCACGTCAGCGACTTAAATCTAGAAATAGTTTTCTAAGATCTACAGAGACACTCGCTGGAACACCTCAGCAAGCGGGAGTCCAAAAGTGGCAGGCTCAAACCCAGAACCTCAATCAGTGACTGATACCAAATGAGAGATTTCCTCCTGGGCACACAGAAAACTGGGCGACTTGGAAGGCGCTGAACAGACTGTGCTCTGGCACCATGAGATGCAGAGCCAACCGTAAGAAATGGGGTTACAAAGTGGAATCCACGATATGTGAGTGTGGAGAAGAGCAAACTACAGATCACCTACTACAATGCAACCTGAGCCCTGCTACATGCACAATGGAGGACCTTCTTATAGGAACACCAGAGGCACTCCAATTGGCCAGCTACTGGTCAAAGGACATTTAATCAACTATCAAGCTTGCAAACTTTGTGTTTTGTTTGTTTGTTTTGTTAAAAAATGCAATGCAACTGTTTGGTCTGCCCCTGACATGATAAATAAATAAATAAACAAACCAGGGGTCCTCAAACTAAGGCCCGAGGGCCAGATACGGCCCCCCAAGGTCATTTAACCGGCCCTCGCTCAGGGTCAACCTAAGTCTTGAAAGCACACAACAATATCAACAACAACAACAACAACCCTATCTCATCAGCCAAAAGCAGGTCCACACTTCCCACTGAAATACTAATAACTTTATATGTGTTAAAATTGTTCTTCACTTTAATTATTGTATTGTTTTAAAGTGTTTTTTTGCATTACAAATAAGATATGTGCAGTGTGCATAAGAATTCATTCATGTTTTTTTCAAATTATAATCCGGCCCTCCAACAGTTTGAGGGACTGTGATCTGGCCCTGTGTTTAAAAAGTTTGAGGACCCCTGCCTTACACTATGTCAAATTATCTGCTCATCCCCTCTGTTCTGACTTGAAGTAGATCTCTAGGCTTTTAGACTAGTGCATTCTGGATTGCCAGATTCCTGGACCTTTAAACCAGGGCTGTGGAATGAGTGGCCAGGTGCTTGTGGATTATATGTCCCATTACTACTTCCCTTTGGTTGGGAACTGGAATCCAGCCAACAGCATTGTGAGCTACAGGTTGGCCTTGCAGCAACACATGCTCCCTCATTCCGCCCCCCCTTTTGTGTATTTTAATTTTACATAGCTACTTAGACTTCTTTAAGAGCCAAGCCCAAGAAACTGGGAAGAGGGGGCAAAAGCGCACGCTTCTGCTCAAACCTCTGATGCTAGGAATAAATGATTTTTTTCCATGCATCTGACTCTCAAAGGGCCAGTGCTGCTGGCTTTCAGCTCTAGCACAATGAGAAATTAAGACAGCTATTGAAAATTTATGTCTGTAAACACAAAGCAATGCCTGTCTGCACCCACTGTTGAATAAGCACTCACCACTTTTGCCTACCATCAGATCATTTGACCATTTATTGTGCCTAATTCCAGTTGTAGTAAGCATGCCAAGAAAATGCTGAGTACTTTGTCATGGAAGCCTGCACACTGAGCAAGGACTCTCAATAACATGCTGCCAATGGTATTATTTCAAATCTATACAAAACACTCTTTTCCTCCACATGCATTTCCCCCCTTTTGTCTCATGGCTTTCTAGATTGCAATCTTCCAGGGCAAAGGCTGTCTTCTAGTGCTTGTACAGAAGATGCTCTGGGGGACTTTTTGGTTGAGTCAATCTAGGCATTTTGACTCCTGTTTTAATGTGTTCTCTACAACTTTCACATCAAATGCCACTATAGGTTAAACACATCTTATCCAGAATTCCGAAATCCAAAGGACTCTAAAATCCAAAAATGTCTAAATAGGTGGCTGAGATGATTGAACTTTGTAAACAAACTTTTTTCATGCAAAAACCCATTAAAATGTTTTACAAAATTACCTTCAGCCTATGTATATCTATGTAAATTAAAATGTAATGTTTGTTTGTGGGATTAACATAACTCAAAAACCACTAGACAAATTGCTGCCAAATTTGGCCACAAGACACCTACTAACCCAAGGAATGACCATTACTCAAAAAAATTGAGTTTGTCATTTGGGAGTTGTAGTTGCTGGGATTTATAGTTCACCTACAATCAAAGAGCATTCTGAACTCCACCAATGATGGAACTGAACCAAATGTGGCACACAGGACTCCCATGACAAACAGAAACCACTAGAAGGGTTTGGTCGGCATTGACCTTGAGTTTAGGAGTTGTAGTATATCCTATATCCAGAGAACACTGTGGACTCAAACAATGATGGATCTGTCCTTTTACTAAAGACATTTGGGAGTTGTAGTTACTGGGATTTATAGTTCACCTACAATCAAAGAGCATTCTGAACCCCACCAACAATAGAATTGAACCAATAGAAAATACTTAAGGCCATCCAGTACAACTCCCTTCACCAGGGCAAGAAAAAGTAAACAAATACTGTTTACCCACAAGCATAAAGAAATTACATCTATTAGAAACCAACACTTTCTCATTTATTTTCCAGATCACCAGGCCACAGCAACGTGTGGCAGGGGATGGCTAGTAAGATATATATAGGCTTAAATAAGCTTCATGTTTAGACTTGGTTCCATCATCCTGACTAGAACCTATATAATGATCATTCTTTGTACCATTCTATCTTGGTTAGTATATGTATTCACAGAATTTTAGAGTTGGAATGGACAACAAGGATTGTTTAGTCCAATACCCACCATACAAAATTTGAAAAGTAAAACACACCTGAGAGATGCTCATCTAACCTCTGTTTAAAGAACTTCAGAAAATAAAAGTCAACCAGTCTCCGTGACTGACTGAATCCCTCTCACAGTAAACTTGCCCTTCCTAATGTTTAGGAGAAATTGCTTTTCTTATAATTTGTCTCCACATTCTAGTGTTTAGAGCAGCAGCAAACAAGCTGGCTTCAGTGGGTTGTTGTAGGTTTTTTCGGGCTATATGGCCATGTTCTAGAGGCATTCTCTCCTGATGTTTCGCCTGCATCATCTTCTATATAAAATCCCTTTGGATATTTAAAGACAGATATCATGTCACTTCTCGGTCTAGCCATGTTGATTTATTTCAGGTACTATTCAAAAGTATTTGGGAACTCTTGGTTTTCTGGATTTGGCATTTACCCAGTCTTTGTGGTCAGAAGGCTTAGAGTTTCCAGGTAGACAAGTATATCGTTAAAAACATAAGAAGGCATTAGCCAATAGTTTGCTCCAACTGGAATTCATAGGGCATGAATAAGTGTTGAGTCAACATTCTCCTCTCATTCCATGAGCCAAGTGTAATTGGGACTACCAAAATGTATTTGAGCCAAACAAATCATAAAAAATGAAAGAAAAAATAGCTATCCTGTCTGAATTTTATTACAGTATATAGCTGATTTACAAGCAGGTATTTATGCTCTGCTGTTTCTCTCAAAAGTGGGACAAAAGCAGCTTATGACAAAATGAAATCAAAACACATCAAGTTATGATATGAAAACACCATTAAGGTATGATATTAAAACAAAAAGCAATTCAAAGCAATATAAAAAGCACATCAATTCAACAGTGTATCACACATGCCCATTCCCATTAAAAGCCGCTTCTTCAGTAGTCAGCCAATTGCTAAAGTCCATGTAACAATAAACACATTTTCTACACAGTTGAATGTTTAGTATCATTGTCAAGTCTTTCAAAAGAAATCCATGTTGGTTTCTAGCTGCAAATGAACTCCTATCGATGCAGCTGTCAAGTCCGTTAAATGTAGTTGAAACTGTGCAGAGATACAGACGAAGGGACAGCCCCAGCAGTAGTTCATTTGACTTCTGACCCCATTGGACGGAATGAAGGTTATAGTTCAAAAATAACAACCGGGTTTCCCTCAAACACTCATTTTTTTAAAATCCAAAAAATTCCAACTGTGTTGTATTATTTATTATAATCCATTTAATTCACAAAAAGTTAATGCATCCAATGAACAGACCACTGCCAACAAAAACTGGGGATGCAGTAAATCATCCAGTCTAAACATCCTGAAAGTACCAGATCTTGTCTGAGCTTCCAAGGTAAACAAGATCGGTCCTTGTTAATGCTGAGAGACTGCCAACAAATATCAGATACTATAGACTTCATTTCAAAGCAAGGAATTGGCAAAACCACCTATTTTGATGTTCCTTGCCTATGGAATCCATGGGGTCGCCATTAGTCAACAGTCGACTTGCAAGC